CACAGGCACTGAGGTCATCATGCAGGGGCCCTGGGACCCCTCAGCCTCTCCTCCCATGGGGTTCTATCTGACACTTCTTTTTCTCGGGCTCTGCTTTCCTTCGGCCAGCTTCCTAGCAGGGTTTTCCTCAGCTAATCTTCTGGCCTGCTGCCCCTAACTTTTGTTATTAAATGAGTATAAACGGCAAATTCCTTGAGCCTCCCTGGCCTTCCTTCTCAGAGACACTCCTGTCCAAGTCGTCTTGCGCATAGCCAAGTCAGAGCTGCGGCCCCTTAGTATCAGACTGTCCAAAGAGGCAGCAGCCCCAGGCTGTTCCCCCCTCCCCCACTTAGAAGTGGGCAGCTGGGACAACGGGGGGGGGGGGGGACCACACTCCATGTTGGGAAACTTCTGTGCCTTCAGACACCCGTTGGATCTTAGACAAAGCAGAGCAAGAAGATAGATGAATAGCAAAGACTTCCTCCAAATGCTAAGACAAGATGTTCCTCTCTGTCTTTCCAGGAAAGGACTAGTGCTCCTGGGAGCTACGCACTTTCTAGGACAAAGATGTTTCAGCAGGGAAAAGCAGCAAAAGGAGGTGAGGCAGAGAGGCGTTGCCGGCTGGCATGCCTTGTGCTTGAAGCCAGGGCGAGGCAGGGGCCCAGGGATCACTGCTTAACCAGAAATAGTTTCAACAACTCCCCTGAGTTTTGGAGGCTATTTCTAGACGTGGAGGCAAAGGAGAAGAGGGAAAAGAATTGAATCCAGACCTAGCTGCCTGTAGAGGGGCCTGCATCCCACCCAGCTGGAGAAGCTGTTTTCACACCTGCAATAGAAGAGCCCTGAAAGAATTCAGACAAAAGACGGACGAGGAGACCCAACCCTCCCTGTACTGCCAGGACCTCGAACCCCAAGAAGTCCCAGAAGGCCCCTTTAGAACCCTAGGGTCCTGTTCCCAATGCAGCGTCAGGGTTGTGCCCTCTCACTGAAACCCCACAAGTCACCTATGGTAGTTACTTTTCTAGGCTGTGATCAAATACCACCGACCAAAAGCAACTTGGGGAAGAAAGGGTTTGTTGGAGCTGGCAGTCTTTCATCCAGGGAAGCCAGGGTAGGCACTCAAGGCAGGAACCTGGAGGCAGAAACTGAAGAAGCCACCGAGGAGTGCTGCTTATGGGCTTGCTCTTCCAGCTTTATCCAGCCTGCTTTTTTATAGCCCCCAGGACTTCCCGGCCGGGAGTGGTACCATCTACAGTGAAGCCGTGCCCTCCTACATCAATCATCATCATCATCATCATCATCATCATCATCATCATCATCAACAACAACAACAAATGTACCACAGGCCAATCTGGTGTGGTACTTTTCTCAACGGAGGTTCCCTTTCCCCAAATGACTCTAGCTTGTGTCAAGTTGACGTCAAACTGCCCAGTCCATCACCTGTCTTTTTGCATAGCTTTCTTCTTCCCAAGTCAAACAAGCCTGCCCCTGCCCGCTCTGGCCATCCTAGGAGCACAACCGGTAAGATGAAATGCACACGTATTCTTTGGACATGTGGTTGAAGCTGATCACTCAGAAAGCTTAGCCAGAAGCTGGTCCACTACATCCAATTGGATTAGTCATATGCTAGCCTCCATGGAGTCACCTGTAATCTAGAAATTCCTGAGGACAGCCTGACACCTCCACTACTGCCTGCCATCTTTGGGACCTCCAAGCTTGGCCTTTTATGGCCCCCCAATGAGTGGGGCAGTAGCTTCCATCAGGCCCTTCCTGGTTCAGTCTGTTTTATGTGCACGCCCAATTACAATGCACTTGAAAGACAGTCTCCGGGTTGAGACCCCACTGTGGGACTGGACTGAAGCCACACACATCCTGCACTTGACATTGTGGTTTTGATTCCTGCTGGTGTCTCTCTTTCCCTGCTGGGCTCCCTCAGAGGGAAAGTTCCAGAGAATTAATGAACCTCACTCCATTCCTCTTGGCAGGGAAAGTGCCCTGGCACGGGTGGGCCAGGCTTTCACAGACTTCCATCTCATGGCCAGCTACTGTACATTCCCGGGCTGGGCAGAAGCTGGATGAGGCAGGGATGGGAAGGAGGGACTGGGAAGTAGCTAATGCTTTGTCCAGATCCCCTGTGTCCACGTGTCCACCTAACTTCTTCATACTTGCAAATGGGATCTCCAAGTGTATGCAGCAACAGCTGAGACTCTGCAGACTGCCCCTGGGCAATTCCTTCCCAGGATGAACAGCCCAATGGGGCAAAGACCCCTGTGGTCAGGCCGCTGTGAGGGGCTGCAGGCCCCTCCTTCTCACGTTTCTTCCTTTGGGAACTCTCAGTGCTAAAAACAAGCTTTCTGAGAACCATATTTTTTTCTGGGTTAAAGGTGAAAAATGCAGCATTTCCTCCAAGTGGGAAGCACTCTGCCTGCCAGCTCCGGGCATATGTCCTAGATCCTTCCTCCCACTTGGAGAGGTGGGGAAGGGAGGAGGGGCGGGGTGGCGGAAAGCAGAGGAGGGAAATCGGAAGGAAAGGCCAGTTACTGTGGACCTGGGGCCGTTGGTGTGTGCAAACCAGTGGGCCTGTTTGTGTTGGAGCAGCTCAAGACCTGAATGGGACTGACCAGGAAATGAAAGGCAAATAAGAAGGCAGTGAGCAGGAAGCCAGTCAGAGCGATGACAGACACGCCTGACAGGATTCTGGGGCCAGCGCAGGGACAAAGACAACCCCATAGACTTGCCTGAGGGAGATCTTGGAGGTGGGTCTAGAGAAAATATACAAGGTTATTGAAGTCCACTTTAGTTAAAACAAAACAAAACAAAACAAAAACCAGGGTATTATTGGTCTGCACTCTGCTCCCGTCATCCCCGCTTAGGACCGGTGGAAGGTTCTGAGCATGTTTTCCCGGATTCTGGTTAAGGGAGCTTTTCAGGAACTGATGCTTCATATCACCCTTTCTCCTCAGATGAGATTACACTGATTCCCTGACCACTCCCTGAACCTTCCTCCCAGCCAGACCTCTCAACCTGTCTCTCACCACAGCAGCGACACAAAGCCAAGGCTCTGGTCCTGCTAGTTCCTCCCCCAGAAAAACACAGCTGCTATATATCAGGCAAGGATAAGGGTAGGTAGTCGAGCAAGACAGAGGCACAGAAGACAGGGGGAAGGAAGAGGCCAAGGCCACATGAATTGAGCCTGTCCAGTCACTGGTAGCTTCACATAGCTCTGACGCCATCAGTCCCAAGGCTTCTGCAGAAGAGCCGTCGTCAGGGACCCCTCACCTCCATGGCACGTCTTTCAATGACATGATTTGCTAGGGCGAATCAACTCATTAATGGTCCTGACGTTTTCACCCCTTCTTGTATCCATGGTGACTCACTTAGTAGGTCCTCTCGCTACAAAGAGGAGTTCCCTTTTCACTGTGGGAGGGAAACTGTCTCTGTTTCTTGAATCTGCAGATGTTAACAGGATGCAGGGGAAACAATACATCACAGTTCTGAACCTGGGCCCCAAGAGACCTGGCTCCGGCTCTCTAGTGTTCCTATTCTCCCCAACTGTCAATGAAGCAGACTTATCTACACCAGCCAATTGTTCCCAGAAAAATGAGAGGTACATCCAGCAGATCCAAGTCACATTACCATCACAGCCATTCTGCAGATGAGGAATTCCAGCAAAGACCTGGAGAATCATCTTGTCAAGCTCACCAAAGCTACTCAAGGCACAGGAGCAACTTACTGCTGTGAACCATGGGCAGGGATGGGACATGGATGTTAGTGAGGAAGCCTTATTGTGACAAGAGATAATGGCTACACTTAGAGATCAAAGCAGCTTACCCACTGGCCCAGGCTAAGCTCTTCCCAGCCCTCTTGCTCATTAGTACCAAGGGAGGTCTGATCCCTCAGCTAAAGGTTAAAGACTTGAGCCTCATAATTACGTCTGCTGTAAACTCATCCCACAGTGCCCGGGGTTTGTCCACAGAGAGGGTGGGAGAGCCATGATCCTTTATTTCTTACTCTCTACCCAGACCCTGAGACCCTTTGCCCTTTTGAGTCCTTCCACTTCACTGCCCTGGCACTTATAGGACCCTTACTGCCTGTATTCCACCCCCCTGTCCCTGTCACCACCTCCCCTTAACCCCATGTGCTTCCCGCCCAGCGAGGTCTTCAGAGTCAACGCGTACTCCCGGGCCCTCCTCCCTGGGTCATTCCATAGTCCTAGGATAACCCTTGCAGAGAACAACAGCTCATCTGCAGGACGATTCCCTGGCCTCCATTCAGCTGGATATTTTGCTAAAGTCACAATGATTATCTTTTTTCCAGAGGAAACCCGTTCAAAATGTGCTATAAAAGCAACTCTATCTTATCTTGGGAAGTCCTGGCCCCAGGAGCCTCCACCAGGCAAAGGTGTTGAGTTGAGGGTGACTGAGAGGTAGTGGGGCCCACGGTCTACCACATGCCTTTTTTTTTTTTTTTGAGACTGTGATCACCAGGTGACATGGACAGGAGACCAAGGTCACTCTGACTGTTGTTAGTCATGTTAATCCTTGCCATCAAAGGCTCCTAAACACAAGCGGCAGGAGGTGGTGGCATGAATCAAAGCTCTCTGGCTTATTTGGCTATCTCTTAGAAGTCTTAATATGCCTGAAACTCCGCTTTGCACCAAGTTCAATGGGTGCAACCCAAACAAGATGCTGCACAAACAAGAATAGAATCACGCCGTAGACTAATTATAGGCTCTTTCAGGAGTTGGGTCATCTTTCCTTCCACTTATAGGGGCGGCATTCATCTCACCTTTCCCTGAGTAAGTCCTGTCATGGGGACCCGCCAGGGAGCCAGTTGTCTGCAGTCATGTGCATGAATAGCACAGGGTACAGCTGATGGTCCAGAAACTGTTCTGGGCTGAGCCCTCCGACCCTGCTGGGGGCATATCCCAAGCCCCACACAACCTTGGACTCTCTAAGTAGCCTTGTTGTGCCTTTGTGGGCACGGCCTCTGCGAAATCAGTCACATCTCCACAAACGAGCTCTTCCTCACCCCCTTTATTCACGTTTATTACAGATACTCGCCCTCACTTAAAACAATGTGGCAGTGCCCCACCTCAGTGATGCCGTTCCATTTAGTCTCTTCACTCTGGACAGCATCACATCCATTCCCTTGAACCCTCAGCATGCACTGAAAGAAAGTGGCCACCTCTCCCAGCGGCCCCCCATAGTCACTCTACCCCTTCATTGACACTACATATGGCCCAAACCTATCTCATTTGCCAGAAAACTATTAGGAAAGTGTGCCATAATTAAGATCATCCACCTTAACTTGCAAAAGCACACCGTCAGTGTGGACAGTCTGCGGCTATAAAAATAGACACATACAAAAGTACAGCTACAAAATCGGGGGGAGGGGTGCTGCCCATTTTCTTCAGTTTGCATCATAAAAAAGGACTTTTGCATTAGAGGTAAGCTTGGGGAAGGGGGCCACAGTATGAGCCACAGGATGATTATGATTCTATGTGTAATTTCCCCCAAACCTTTATTTTTATGGACTAGTGAGAGCACATTGAGTCAGCCAGTGAAGAATGGAAGGGGGTAATCTACACAATCCGTAGGCCAAGATTAGAGTATGAAGTTCAGGGTCACACAATCAGTCTGCTAGTGTCAGAAGTCAGGGAAGGGCAGAAGTATTTTAATACTGTTCTGGGGGTTCTCTCTCTCTCTCTCTCTCTCTCTCTCTCTCTCTCTCTCTCTCTGATTCTCTCTCGCTCACTCACTCTCTTTTTCACTCAGTCTTGCTCTCATTCTTTAACACAACATAGCCATTGAGTTACAGCAAACAGTCCCTGGAACTTGGTGCGATGTATGATCTCTCACAGACTCTATATGTTGAACCACAAAGTCCAATGCTTCCTATCCACAGTAGTTCATTGGGCTTGGCCCACAGAGCGTTTGCAGAGAAGGCCATCCAGGGCCTCCAGTCTTGGTTCCCATCAGGGTGTACTTTGTCCTTGATGACAGGAACCACATCTGATTCCCAGACCTCTGTGTGCAGCATCAGGCAGGATCTCTGGGCCCCTGGGATGTTCAGGATAGAGGCTATGTCCCTTGGACAAGGCCAGCTGGTGTTACTTAGCCCCACAAGTGTTGATGTTTTTCCCATCCACAGCGTCTTCCACAAGGGAAATGTGGTAATCAGTGGACAGTGTGAAATGGGAGATGCAGCCCACGAGGCCTCGCATGTATTGTCTGTTGGTGTGAAGAGCGATTTCCTTCATTCCACCTGCAAAGAGGCAAAGAGGGAGGGAGAGAAGGAGGCAAGAAGAGATGTCACTAGTGGGAGATTCTTTATGGTCCACTTGAATGTCCCCTGGCCAAGGACTAACGGTCTAGTACATCACATGTATTAGGTTGATTTGATCAACTGAATATATCTCTGAACACGAAAAAGGCTGATCTCAGATGTGATTTCTGGCTCAAATGACAATCTTAAAGCCAAACAGCTCTCCAACAGATTTTGAAATGTTATATAATGTCAACAACAGGTACTGTCTTGGCTGCTTTCAATTAAGCTCACTTAGAAATCACAAAAGGTATTAATTCTTCCTTTTTTTTTTTGTCTGCGTCTCAGATTATTAGCCATTTATAGGAGTTCTACTCATTCTATTCTGAGAGAGGACACAAAGCCGGATCCTCCTTCCTCAGAGAGAACTCATGTGGCTAAACTTAGAAAGTTCCTGTTCTATAAACAAGAAAAGCGAGGTTTTCCTGGTGGATGATTCCAGAGCACAAAAGCAATGTGAGTGAGTCCCTTCCTGCCTCCTCGGCCATGAGTCACAAGTTCAGAACATGGGAGAATGGACTATTTGGACAGCTTCCTGATTTCCAGGTATTTGATTGAACCTGTTGAGTACACAGCCCAGGGACAACAAACAAAGGTCTCCCAAGGAAAAGCCCCGACCGACTGAGCTTTAGTCAAGGTCACTTACCCACATACAGAGCCCCGTTGATGTTAAGTTGCCTCATCATGCCAGGTGACTTGCCTGTTCTGGCTCCATAGTCATCCACCGTAATCTTCCCAGACTGGCCATCTCTGCAAGGCAAAGCAAACCGAAACCAAACGAAATAAGCTACCATCTTTGGTGTTGATTCCATCATTCTTATTTAGAGATATAAAAGTACCTACCGTGTGCTAAGTAATGAGGTTGTGAAACACACACACACACACACACACACACACACACACACACACACACACACGCACTGCCAGCTTTTACAGCCCCATGGGAAGTGGGACCATGTGAAGGCAGAACTGAGAAAAGGTGCCAAGCCACATGGCTAAACATAAATAAGAATTATGGGTTAATTTAAGTGAAAGAGCTGGTCAATAATAAGCTTGAGCTAATGGCCATACCATTTGTAAATATTATAAGCCTCGGTGTATTTACTTGTGTCCAAGCAGCTGTGGGACCGACAGGTGAGAGAGATTTGTCCTGACCCTGGGTCAGGTGGGACACAGGGAAACTTCAGCTACAGGACCAGCCCTGGCTCACTTCTTGATACTAGCTCTTCATTCACTGAGTTTTCAAGAATTCCTTCCTGCTGTGTCCTCTGTACTTTAAAAATAATTTTTAGACCTTCATACCTTGATGCTCTGATGGGCAATGGCCTTCCTACTTTGTCTTGCTTGCCCTGCCACTCACCTCCCATTACTCTAAACTATTCCCACTTACTTGATTTCATCAGTTATGAGAATTATATACCTTCTAATCAATGACATCTTAGATTGGGAAAAATATAGTTAACTTCTAATGCATAATTCATTGTTTATTACTCATTGTTGGTTGCCTCCCAGAGGAATGCAAGACCACCAAGGCAAAGTGTTGGTTTTCCTCAATGATGTGTCTCAGGTGTTGGAATAGTGTATGGCTCATAATAACAGATCAATGAGCAAACCTTCTATGAAATTGTAATGATTAAGATCAACTTCCAAAGCTATTGTGGAAACCATCTGGTATGCATGCAAAGCACAGAGCGGAGTACCTGACACACATCTTGCTCTATTGAGGTTGGCCAAGGGGCGTGCTGCTATGGTTACACACGTATTATCATATGATTGTTTCTATCCACAAAAATGAAAAAAAAATACAGATCTTAAATTCCTATGAGTATGAGCTGTTATAAAGCACTGTGTCTAAAGTATATGGCATAAGATGTTGGATAAATGAGACATTTCTTCTACTGTATTAGGTGTCATGCTTGCAAGACCAGAAGTCATCCAAAGCAACACAGTGCACATAGCAGCCCACCTCCCTTTAGTGATTCCCTTTTTGTTCATTCTGTTGTCTCTGACCTGGAGCCTTCCACAGAGAATTAAGATACCAATCCAGTTCTTCTTGCCATATGTGATAGCTATAGCTTTAACCCAGTTCCCATGAGGCCTGTCTGCTCACAACTCACAGACACTTCCAACCCATCGAGCTCCTGGCCTCATCTCCTATTCAGCCCTCACTGTAACCCAAGGCTTACTAAAAATGAGATCAATGATGTCAATAGGAAGGATGTCCATGTTAATATGTCTACTGAGCTATTCACACATGCCAAGCTTGATGATCTGGCATATGAAGTTCTTCTGAGGGAACATTCCACTGCATTGTTTCTCCCAAACATCTGAAATCCTTGTGTGTGGGCTGCATCATGAGGTGAACAGAAATGTTTTTGATCTAGGTTCTGCCTACAGCAATTTACACAGTTTTGGGAAATGCATTAAACATGTTTCCTTAGATGTCTAGGAAGGGACTGGTATCCTCACAATTGTGTATCTTCATAGACACAATCAAACCACAGTCACAGTCAAAGTTTAAATTCTTCTACAGTGTGTGACTATTCCACCAACCATTTTGACCCAAGGTTATAAGCAGGGTATATTCCCTGATGTTCCTGGGGCAGCAGTTGGGATTAAATGTGGTTGGAGTTGAGAACCAAAGCATTTCACATTCCTTTGGAGATGTCTGAGTGCAACCTCCGTTGTGAATGATTGAGAGAGAAATGAGCCATTCCAAAGGTGAACATTTCAGAGTATTTTGAAGTTAGGTTGGACTCTACATTTTGACTTGTTTTCCAGAAAAAAAAAATGAGATCCAAATGTGTAAATATGCATTTATGGAAAAACATTTGTTTTTTTTCAACAACTAGAATCGGGACTTTGTTAAAATCCCTACAGGTACATCTGGGCTTTGTGGGCTGCCTGGCAGCAGATAAACATAGGTCTGCTTTTGTGTCTTCAACACCTTTTGAGGTTCCAAGGCAAGCACCATCAGGTGCTTAGGGCAGGGGGCTGAATAAGGACGATCTTAACACAGCCTACTGGGAAGCAGAAGAGGAAGTTGACAATGCTGAGTGCCCATGGCCCCCGGGCCTCACACTGTCCATCACCTGCTGATTGTACAGCAAGAGTCATAGTACATTTTCAGGGAGCTGCAATCAGAATCTCCATTCAGCTTCTCTTTACTTTGGGCTCATTTAACTTGCGGTACTGGCATTACTGATTTGGACTTGCTTTTTGATTTCCGAAAATGTATTGTGAGGAATAAGGACACACATGGCAAAATTATAAAGACATAGGAATAATCTGCCCGAGGTTAATCAAAAGTCAGGATGGCAGTTAGCACTGGGAGGGCATGGCTATATCATGGGGGCTAGGTGAACATACATGACTTCTCATGTTCAGATAACATTCTTATAAAGGAGAGGATTGCCTATGCAAGCACATTTAGAGCACTCTTTAATGTCTTCATGCTCTCAGATTTTCACCTGGTAAGATTTTAAGGCCCCTCTCCAATTGAGCTACTAAAAGGTGCTTTCTGCATACAACAACAAATGCTAACAAGGTTATGGACCAAAAGGAAATTTTTTTGGACCAAATGATATGGACCAAATCTCTTATAGATTGCTAGTAAGAATGTAAACTAGTTCAACCACTATGGAAATTAATATGGAGATCCCCCAATAAGTCTGATGAACCAGCTGTACTGCTCCTTGGTAAAACCCCAAGACTCCAACCCTACATGTCAAAGGGATACTTGTCCATTAATGCCTACTGCAGCGCTGTTCACAATAACTAAGTTACAGCAACCTAGGTGCCCAGTAACCAAAGAATGGTTAGAGAAAATGTGATATATATATATATGATTTTTTTCATCCATAAAGAAAGGAAAAAGTTATATTGTTCAGGAAAATGTATGATCCTGGAGATAATCATATTAATCAAAATCAAGCTTGTCTCAAAAAGACAAATATTATGTTTTTTTCCTCTTTTGTGGTCTCTTTATTTATAGATAAATAAAATCACATATGGACATGTGACATGGAAGCAGAAATGAAACTGTCTAAGGGAACAAAGGGAGGGCCAATGGTAAGGGAAGGATGGACGTATGGCAGGGACGTGCTCAGCATACATTAGATACTTGTATGTAAATGTTCTTATGTAGTATGTGAATATATATAATACAATTCATTGAGTGTTTTCTCCAGGCCATCTCCTTTCATTCAGAGCAGATGCTGGGGTTCAGTTTCTGCCCACTGGTGTCAGTAGAGGGCATGGGTGGGATTTGATGGCAACATGAGGCTGCCAGGTAAAGTTGGGTGAGAGTACAGTGGGACCGAAAGGAGGCTGGCCACACATCCACCCTCCTGTGTGTAGCCTGGCTCTGTCTCCCATGTGGCAGGTGCTTACCTGACAGCCTTGACTCGGTGCCACCGGCCATCGCTGAAGGAGCCATTCACCATGATGGAAGCCACACCACTGCCCAGGTTGTAGCTAAGGGTATTAGGGAAGAACAAGAAAAGAACCAGTGAAACACAGACACTCAGGAAGCTGCCAGTTCACGAAGGCTCTCACTACAAAAGCTCACCCAGAATGCAATGTCCTGAACTCCAAGTAAAAAGGGTGGCACCAAAGGGAGTCACTTTCCAGGTTCACACATGAGTGAATGAATTTTTCAATTTTCAGTGGCGGGAGGATAAACATTACACTCACCGTCTAAGCTATTTTAAGTGTCCATTTCAGGAATGTTAAGAATATTCATGGGTAACTAACATTTCCAGTACTTCCATCTTACAAAATGAATGCTGCAGAGTGCTAGCTCCCCCTTCCCCAGGCCCTGAGCACCACTCTCCTACTTGTTGGCTTTGACTAATGTAGACACCCACTTAAGCAGAATCCCATGACAGCTGCCTTTTTGTGAGGGCCTTCCTTCACATAGTGTAAGGTCATCAGGGTGATTCAGGCCCATGTATGGAAGCATCTGTAGCTACAGTATTGGGACGAGTGAGAAGAGTTTATCATCTGCACTGGCTTACACAGTGTTTCCCTGAAATTCCTGTCCACCCTGAACCTTAGAATGCGACTTTGTCTGGAGAGAGGGTCTGATGCAATTAGTTAAAAATGAAGCCACACTGGGTGAGAGAGATCATCCATCAATATGACTGGTACCGTTACTGGAAGACATTTGGATACAGAAACACATGGAAGGAAAGGGTATGTGGTGATGAAGAGGCTGCAGCTATACATCTATTAGCTAGAAACACCAAGGACTGCCAGCCAGCACCAGAACCCCAGCCAGAAGCACCAAAAGAACCGCCCTTGATCCTGCCAAGGAAGCGGTGCCAGCAACATGTTGAATATTGGATTCCTAGTCTCCAGAACTGTATAAACATTGATTTCTTCAGCGTTATAAAATTCATGGTAATTTATTACAAAAGTCCTAGGAAACTATGCAACATTTTCACTTTAAGAAAGAAAAAAAACATTATTGAGGAGCAAGCTGAACTCTAAAGAATTGAGGAGAATTTGTCTGAAACCAGAGGCGAGATAAAGAATTGAATTTCTCGTATCCTCTGCCTCACTTCCTTTGATGTCAGCTCTACCTTGTAGCATTTTAACTCCTGGATTCTTTGAAATGTTCAAGGACTCAGAAAACATGACCCACTGTTCACTCAGTTATTCTAACTTAATTCAATCCAGCAAATATTTAGTGAGTGACTACTCTAGCCCGGGCAGGGAGCCAACTGCCTAGGCTTCCCTTGGGTAACACAATCTGACCACTCGCTCAGGCCACCAGAGAGTGGGGTCCACAGGGGCAGCTTTGCCCTCATCCTGAGAGGGGAGTTCTCTATACATGATAGCGGGAGGGGGGGAGAGGAAGGCTCAAATGAAACGCTGATTCCCCCCAGAGCTCTGGAGACCCTTGTTCTGAGAACAGAGTGAGAATAGAAAGCACTTGGTTTTCCCAGAGAAAGTTCTATTGCTCATTCATTTCATAACAAAGTCTCAAAGAAACAACACAGTCACAGCATTGAACCATGAATAGAAGTTGTGGTGGCTTGACAAACCATGGGACAGAGCTGCCACTCCGACCCTAAAATCTGCACCACTTTCTAGTCCACTTTCCCACATCAAGTGTCTCCTATAAAATAGCCAGAAGGTCCTCTAATCTCCATATGTCACTATGGCACGCGCTCGCGCGCTCACACACACACACACACACACACACACACAGCGTGGGAAGTAAATGTAATAATTAAATAATTAAAGGGGAATGAGCATGAAGCAGGGCCAGTGGGTGGGCTAAGTTACTGCATGTAGTTTTGCTGAGCATTAGTGTGAGTGACATGTCATGGATACTCAAATTCTACACACCTGCCTGGATCCTCGGGCAGGTCAACTTACCAGCTCTGTGACCTTAGGCGATTCGCCTAATTCTATCAAGTACAGGTAAGACACTTTCCCTGCAGGACTACAGGGAATGTTAACCAACACAGCACCCAGTAGGAACTAAACAAATGAAGTCACCGTACCAAAAAACATAGGACTTGGTGACACTTACTCGGGAGGTTGGCAATGCACCCTGAGGAGAGGGAAGCCCTGTGGGGGAGTGGACCCGAAGTGGTAAACACATAACTGAAGTGTCAAGAATGCCCAGGTCCTACACTCAGGTGACCTGCATGTAACTGCAGGGAGCCACACCTGAATGTGCCAGTCAGTGTGCCCGTGACGAAAACATTTCCATTGTGTTAGAACCAGGTGGGACAAGGGTGAGCGTCATTCTTTTCTGAAGTCAATAACTCTCTTACTCACCTGAAGGGAAAGAATATGCTCAAGGGAGTTGAAATAAGAGTTTGGCAGACAAAAATTCCAACATCGTGGGTTTCTTTATGACCTACCTTTGCAGCCCGGTCTCAATAGTGTCAGGCCCTGCAAAGAGCCACCTGTTCCTACTCTCCCTGGATTGTTTGTTTTGTATGCATAGACATATATACATATATGCATATGCAGCACACAAAACAAATAATATACACATCTTTATATATACATATACCAGGCTGTCCATTGAGCAGATGTGCACTGCTGTGAAGTTATGCCTTGCTTTCCAGCCATAAAAGCAATGAATGAATGAATGCTTGCCTGGTTGCTCCATCAATGTTATTTGACTCTTGCTGTGACTAGGTTCTCCCAAGCCACCTAACTTGATATGCACCAATGACTGACAGGCTAGCCAACAAGATGGCCAACCCAGAAGTGACTCTGAGTCTGGCCTTTGAAAACTACTTGGTCATCTTCAGGCCCCGCACGTGCGGTGATGCTTTCGGTAACATCCCTTTCAAACCATGGTACAGGGTACCTTACTAATATCTGACCTCTTGCTCTTCTCTGGTGCCTGAAAGTGTTACATGGTCCAAATAAGTTGGGAAGGGCATCTCGTGACATTTATAAAGCTTCCTGACTGGTTTTGTGTTCCACACATGACAGACTAGAACGAAACAAACCGCGGTAACACTGAAAGTCACGCTCATGTCGGAGAAGCACTTGGATTTCTGTGAGCTCTAATCGACTTCTGGACTAAGGGTGTTGGGTTGAGAGCTCCATTGTCCTGCTCACCCCAGTTCTCTGGCAGGAATTCCCAGGATAAGTGAGAGCAAAGGGCCTTAATTCGGGTGAGTGTAGAAAGTTAGAGTGAGTGCATCCTGTTATCTCAGGATTTCTCTCCCATCTGTGATAGAGACATTGCAAGCTTGAGAGTGGGTTTGTGCATCCTAGAGAATAGTGTACACTCTAGCTAGGCCTCACTGACGCAACATCCTCGAGGCCAGAAACTTTTGTTTATTTTCTTTTTTTTGAAACAAGGGCTCATGGAGTTCACACAGCCCAGAACTCATTATCAATCTGAAAATGGCCTTGAGTTCCTGATCTCTTTGCCTCCACCTTGGAAGAGCTGGGATTAGAGTTGAGTTCAGCCACATCTTCCCTGGTAAGGTCCGGATCTTACAATATGTAAGTGACTACATTTTTGCAGAGCTGTTATATAAGGCTTCATTGCTAGGTTATCTCATAGAGGCCGAAGTTTGCAGAGCCCAGAAACACTCGATGAAGGTAAGAATTTGCATTCTCGTCATCACTAAAAACTGATTGTGTTTGACCATGCACTTGGGCCTCTACAAAAATGACTTCATTTCATTTTCACAAAATCCTCCCAACAAGCCTTTTTGTCTTTCACAGAAGAGGAGCCAGAGGCTAAGAGAAGGTAAATGACTTGCATGAGATCACACAGCCATGGGGATCAAGTGTGTGGAACCCCAAAGATCCTTCAAACTCTGTTTCTCAGGGTATGCTTTCTAGAATACTTGGGGGTGCTCGATGCCAATAAGATCCCAGTGCGCACCCACACTAACTCCATCAGAGCCTGGGGGTGGGCAAGCCCAGGAATCTACCTTTGGGACAGGCTCTGCAGTGTGTGCTGGTTTGTTTTAGACCACCTGCCTTTATCATAATCCTGCCTGTTCCCAGCCCAGCCTAGACTTCCCTTGCATCTGTGTTGGATGGATGGATAGAGTTGTATAACCACCCAGATGAAAGTGCCCAGTGAGTAGCGATGGGTGGTTCCAGATGTGGATGCCAATTGTAGCCCCGCCTGGGCCCCGGAAGTGTACACAGAACACAAGAAATCCCCCAGACAGCTGCAGCAACTCAAGAAAGAAATGGGAACCTAGGGTGTGCGTCTAAGCTGGAGCAAGCTATTAGAAGGGTGGTAGGGGTGAGAAGGGGCTGGCAGGGGTGCTTCCAGAGCCTGGGGTGAGAGCTGAGCTGGTGACAGCCGGTGGCCAGTTTTCTCAGGTCTCCATGCATTGAATTCAGCTGGCAGTGGAGGGGGAGCTGGGCCACCCCACCCTCCACTTAGCTACCGTTTTAGTTCCCTTTTCTGGGTACAATCAAGTACTTGAGGCCCGGGTGAGGTTAACCACAGGAAAACCACAAAGAAATGGCTTTGAAGCAGCCAGCCGACAGGGTGGGAAGAGCTCCCCCTCATCTGACCTGTGGGCCAATGAGGAGTGGGGAATGGTGATGGGGTCACAGGTCGGGGAGCAGGCACAGTTGGAGAGGAGCGGGGGACCCCTCGCTTTTCAACATCTGCTCTTAAGCTACGTACTACTACAATGTCCCCCATCACCGGGCTGAATCACAGAGCAGGTGTGGCATTAGAGTCACATTTCCTTTCAAAATGTCTTTTCTTCAAATTAAACAGCTTCATGTTAACCTCATCTAGATGGCGGCAGGACCTCCACTAGCCCCAGCACACAGGACAGCACACATGACGGGTCAAAGCCCTGGAATCCAGTCTTTATCATGTCTGTAGGTCAGTTCTCTCTCTCTGTTACATTTCCTGTTAATTTCTTATTATTTACCATACACTTGGGGTTTCTCACTGGAGAGGGGGAGTACTAAGACAAAGGGAGTAAAAGCTTAACAAACAACCCCCACCCTGGGGAAAATACCCAGAGCCAGAGCAGAGGCTCCCAGCAGGCAACTGAACCTCCTGGTTACAATGCAGCCAGGTCAGGCTGGGGCCTGGAGATTGACATTTTGAACAAGTTCCCCAAGGGGGTTGTTGCTTGGTGGCAAGCACCTTCCACAGTCTTGATGCCCTGGTTTTTCATATTTAACAAGATAGCCCCTGCCCTTTAGAAACTGAGCTCTCACTCATTCTAGAAAAGAGAAGGATGGGGAGAAAGTGTCCAAGTGATTCTTTAGCTACTGCGTAACCATCCAGTTGACAACTTGGAGAGCCATATAAACTAACTTAAAAGAGGTGAGAACTGCCGGCCAGGCATGGTAAATGCTTTTATGTAGCACGAATCTTAAAAGTTCTTATTAATAAAAACAAACCTGGAGCTAGGTATTGGGGTGAATGCTGGAAGATCAGAGAAGCAGAACAAGCCACAGCCACCTCACCTCAACAGTTCCTCAGCTGATCTTGTTTCCTTAGACTGGAAGCCTCTGAGTCCTTATCCAGAATGAATCTCAGCTGAACTGCTGCTAGAAGCCTAAAAGCTTAACTAACTCTAGTTCCTGGTCCTCACGCCTTATATACCTTTCTGCTTCCTGCTGTCAATTCCTGGGATTAAAGGAGTGAGTCACCATGCCTGGCTGTTTCCAGTGTGGCTTTGAACTCACAAAGATCCAAATGGATCTCTGCCTCCAGAAGGCTAGGATTAAAGGTGTGTGTGCTACCATTTTCTGGCCTCTATGTCTGTCTAGTGGCTGTTCTGTTCTCTGACCCCAGATTAATTTATTAGGGTGCATGATATATTGGGGAACACAATATCACCACACTTTTATCCCAGCACCAGGGAGGCAGAGACAGGCAGCCCTCAGTGAATTTAAGGCCAGCCTGATAGATATAGAAAAGTTCCAGGTCAGCCCAGACCATGTAGTAAGACCCTATTTCAAAAATAAAATAAAATAACATCCATTCACACAGACAAGCACACACACACAAATACAAATAACTTAAGAAGTGAATCCTTAAAAGAGGAAGTCAGAGCTTCTGGGATGGCCTTCTGAGTTCCGCTCAAGTATTTATGGAGATCCAGGTGTTGGGTTGCTCCGTAGAGACAGGAATCTGCATTTCCTTGTCCTCACAGCAGCACGCGCCCTAAGGCTGTGGAACTCAGTCAGGCAGATGGAACTAAAGCCAAGGTTCCCGGAGGAGTCGATTTTCAGATCTTCCCACGCTGGCCAGCGTCACTTCCACGCCCTCTAGTCCACACGTGAGGAGCATACAGCAGGGACACAGGACAACAGCCTGCACAGAATTGCTCCGTCCGCAGACAGCCAGGCAGTAAATATGGCGACTTTGCCAAGCAGTTCCCTTTGAAGCTACTCCAATGTGCCATGGCAGCCTGAACCCAGTAAGAGACTACACACACACACACACACACACACACACACACACACACACACACACACACGAACAAGTACGACAGTAGTCTGATAAAACTTGGAATAAATTGGCAAAATTGGGAAGTGGTGTGAATTTGCCTGACAGGCCTAGATGTCGCTGATGGGGAAAAATAGGAGACTCAAATGAGGCTGGTGCCTTCGGCGACTGCCACCTCCAGGAGAGTGTGTTGGGGGTCACTCCTGCCTCACTCTTCAGAACAATCTGCACTGTCAGAGAAGAAACTTCAAGGTGCCGCTGAAGGCAGAGCTTGGGCGGAAGTTACCTGAACACCAGCGCTCCATCCCGAAGGCCCAGGGAAATGAAGTCACTGTTGGGTCTCAAGGGGCTGTCCCCCCTCCACAGCAACAGGCCATCCTTGGCGGTTGTCTTAAACCTCATGAAGGCATTTGATCTTGATCCAGACACCCTGGAGGAAATGCACAGGGGAGTCCATGAAATCAACCACCAACATCTGTTTTGAGTCAACCCCGCCTCCCCTGAGCAGCCAGATGTGGAGATACACTTCCCTCTCTGCGGCTACATGCACCAGGCGAACAGAAGGAGCATTACCCCTCCTAGTTGCACCATTCATAAAAAGTTCTGCATGCTCCATGAGCAGCAGTGTCTGCCCCTACGAGGGGACACTTACAGAGTAAGACATTGGCCAATGTCACAGTCCCAGGCAGGTGGCCTTATGCACCAGACTTTTTCCTTTCCTGCCCTGCTACTCAATGGCTCTTGGGAAGCTGCCCCTCATTTCCCAGCAGAAAGCGGGCTTCCCAGTCGCCACAAGGCTCAAATCAGCAGTTTCTTGGGGCTCTAATCATGGCAGTGGAAGGCCAGCATGGGCAGCAATGACTGCCCTTGGGGCCGTTCTGGAGAGGCAGATGGACAAGGCGCCTGGTCTCAAAGGAGGGGACTTGATGGAATGGCTGTTGGTCTTCGAAGGTTGCCATGACAGAATCTTTGAGGAAAGCACAGGAAGCTATGAGCAGAGTAGGGGTCAAGCAGGATGGCTTCTGGGCTGTATGCGTGGCTGGGAAGAGGCTCCTGGGCTTCTGTGTGCCTGTCTGTTCCTAAGGCTAGTTTAGAAAGCCTTCTGGCTAAAGTTATCAGCAGTTAATTGATGTGGCCTGAGGGTCTCCAGTAAAAGGTGAGGCAGAAGGAAATATAAGTTAATATTGCCATCAGCAAGACACTACTAGAACCTAAAGCCAAGGCTCTTGGAGTTTAGATGTTCAGATCTTCCCAAGCTGGCCAGTGTCACTTCCATGGCTTTCACACTGCAGATGGGACATACATATAGTGCAACACACTAGAACAAGAGACACAGAATAGTTCAATTTTTCCCTTACCCATTCTGGTAAGAAGAGTGGGGAGGACGTGTTTTTCTTTCCATTCTCCCATCTGTGGTACCATTCCGTCTCCCTCATACCTAGTTCCCGAGCTGTACAGTGCATTCGACAGTGAATGCTGGTGGTACTTCTGTCTAGGCTTGCCACGGCCTGGTCTAGATAGGAAGGCACCAAGCTCGTCTTCCTTATACGGGAGGTCCGCTAGGCCAGCTACAGGCAATTCAACCCTAAACAGTTTCCCGGGAACCTTCTAGTCTCTGTCTCTGATTCCATGTTCCTTCCCTCCCTTGGCAATATGGACTGGCGTGAATCAATCAAGCCAATTCCGTTGCTCTTATCAATGCTTGAAATAAAAGCAGACATATAACTTATTATCCAGTTTACCAGGAGAACTCTGGGGAAGCTTCCTTCTCCTTAATGAGAGTCCTTTACACTTCCATAGGACATTGCCCAGTTTGATCATCATCCACTGAGTGTCCTGTGAGCAGCTAGAATATACTGGGAGTGACACAGCAGACATGTAACTGAGATCGTGGGTCTCTGATGACACAGCAGATCCTCTGGATTAATCAGCCCAGCTGAAGACTGCACATATTATAGTAAATCCTCTTCCTGTTTAGGACATTTGAAGCTGTTTATGTTACTTGAACCTCTGAAGGTATCAAACTGAAATAGATCATGAACACTTCCATTTGTATCCCTTCACACAGGTGTACATGTACCTACTTGCACACATCAGCAGGTGTACTCCAACAGAGGCTCTGATTTAAGGCTTCTCCATCTCTTGCTGCCTCCACAGCGCTAGCTCCCCTCGGTGGCCTCTGGCTGTGGTGATATTGTGTAGTGCTACATCTGGCTAAGCACTAGAAGCTGATGACTCGGACTCCTTACCTAACACTCTGCTTTGGGGAGGAGGGGGACAACTGAATGACCTATCATCGGGAGGGAAGGGAAGAGGGAAGAAGGTGGACCTTGGCTGGGAACGCATCTCACTTAAATCCTCATACCAAGGCAACAAACAGAAGCTGGGATTAGGGAAGTGAAGCAGGGTCTACCTCCTCCCCCAAAACCGTGCCTCTCAATCCTTCCTAAATAGCCCATCAACTGAGAACCAAACATTTAAACATATGAGACTATGGTGGCCATCCATATTCGAACCACTAGAATACTCTGATAGGCCCACAGTCACCCCAAGTGACCCTGGAAATGATCTTCCAATCAACTTTGCTTCTCTCAAAACCCTAAATTCTGACCTAAAGCAGGGTGGCTTTAGATCAAAGATTTGTCATCTGTTACTACGTGCCCAACCTAAAGGGAAAGGAAAATTCTAGAACCATTTTGCTGGTGATTGATGGTGGATGAACATGATCAATGGCAGAACACCGAGGGACGAACTGAAGTTGCCAACAACAACAGGCTGCATAGAGGGTTCTCTAAGAGGCAGCTTCACTCCTTGCCACATATACAGGCTGCTTGAAATTCTAGCCCATCCCTGCCTCCAGGGAACAAAAGTTGTCGCTTGGGCATTTGTGTCATGCCTTCTGTCCCTGTGTCATGCTCTTCTGCCCACATGAGGAGAACTGAGCACTCTCCACAGTGCAGGCAGAGCCACAGGAGGATAGTCGACCTATGCTCATGAAGACATGGGTGCTGGTCTGGTATGCAATGGCTCGGAGCTATTTGTCTAGTTGGGAGCAGCTGAGTCCTTCTCCAAATGACTCCAGGCAGATCTGCAGGCTATGGCACAGAAGAGCCGGAGCTAACAGCCCTGCTAAGGTCATGGGTGTGTGTGTGTGTGTATGTGTGTGTGTGGGGGTATGTCATCACACTCCGGCTGTAGGAGCATCCAATCCCTTCTGCCTCTCAAACTGGAACACTGCAAACCCCAGGGGCAAGTCACATTCTTCCAGGCCCTTTGACCAGAAAAGGTTTGGAGTGTTTATAATGAATTGGGTTGTTTGGAAGACTAACGCCTTCAAGTTTAGTTTATTTGTTTTGTTTTGTTCTTGTTTCTATGTTTATTTCTTGTGCCCCCCTCCTCCCCAGCCCATGGGGAGAATTACTATCTGGCACTGAACATAAGAATAAGTGATGATAAGAAACTGACATCCAGGGAATAAGCAAGCTGCTGTGCTGGCCCATTACCTCTTGAGGATGTTTGGATTGTCATATGTCAGGTAACTGCGGCCGATAAACTGTGGGATCTCGATGGCTTCTGTAATAGCTGAGACAGAACAGAAAACGAAGGTTAGGAAGCACGGGGCCCTCTTGACCTCTGCACTCATACACATGTCAGTAACATGGCAGGAAAGCTATGCATGGAATGTGACATTTGACCACTTGTCAGCCCCTTCCTCTTGGCTGTGCATGTACTAGCCTGGCTCGTGGCAGCCTGGCCTGGTGGCCTGGCAGTGATTTCTCCCCTCTCTCCCTTCTCTGGGAGCTGGCGGTCACTGTCACTGGCCTTGGCACTGCTGAGATGGCTTTGCAATGTGCTGAAACTTGAACTGTCCCCAGTGCTTCTTGGAAGCTGGAGGAGAGCCTGAGCCATGTGGAGAGCAGCTGGGGATAACCCCAGAGTGTTGCCAAGGGAGGCAGAGAAAGTCATCCCCAAACAGACCCAGAGGAGTTCTTTATTTAGGGATCATCTGCTGAACCCCTACAGCTCTGATGTGGAGAGAATGGGGAGCACAGCGTGTGAGCTCGGACTCTTCACTCAGACATGTGCGCGCTTACAAAGCCTTTGCCCCAAACTCATGAAGAAGCATGAAAAGTGGGGCAGGCCTGGCTATCTCCATTTCAGGATGAGGCAAATGAGCCACAGAAAGAAGCTCCCCGGCTAAGATCGCAGCAGACCCTGAACCAGAGTGGCTCGCCTCCTCTGGCTCCTGCCCACCCCTTACTTCCCAGTATTTCAGAAATGAATTTCCTTCCTCCCAATTTCTCATCACTTGGTTTCCCAGAGGAATCACCCTTGCACACACATCAAAAGAACAGGCGTGTGTGGTGTCACAAACTGGGATGTCACAGAGGGGATTTCTGCTAGAGAAATAACCATACTACCGCCTTCCTCTTTGGAAAGATACAGCGGTAACAGCTTAAAGAGACCAAGGTGGAATGAATCTCACATCCTAAAAACCAAACCAAACCCAAAACCAAAACCAAAATTTAAAAAAAAAGTGTGTAAAAGGAGAGACTAATTGGCTGATGAAACAATTATAGCTTCAAGGAGATGTGTGGTTGATACAAAGAAGACATGGCATAAAAACGCCACACCCAGGAAAGAAAACGTGTCATTTGATGCCGTGGACAATGGTGAGAGTTTGCATTTGACTTTTAAACATAAAACAGTGATGAAGAGAGAAAGGTTAGTCGATAGACAGGCACTGGGCTAGGAAAAGGGGAGACGTGAACCGGGAAAACAAAAGCGGGGAAGCGGAAAAGAGAGGGATTGAGCTCCCAGGGCTTGGAGCAGCAGTGATGGGTTAAGGAGGGAGGTGCAAAGTGGAGGAAGAGGAAGAAGAGAAGGACGGGGAAAAGGAAGGGGAGGGAGCTCTTGGAAGAGGCACCAGACCCTTATTTCAGGAACTGTGTGCTGATAAGGAAGTAGGAGGAGAGTGCCCAAGCTGACCGGCGTAGGACCAGTGCCCAGCTGACTGGCATAGGAGTCTGACCCTGGCCTAAACATAACCAAGAAGGCCCCAGTGGGCTCTGCTCACTCCAGGGGGAGAGGTATAGCTGGGCTCCACTGCTGCTGTTGTTGGCCCTGTCTGTGGGCCTGTGACCCACAGACATCCTGTTCTTTGGACCCCTTAAAATGGTCATGATGTGTTTGTCACAAGTCAGCTCTGCAAACAGAGCCTTGGGAGGCATCTGTCTGTGGGGGCTAAGTCTAGCTGCCTGCCAGCTAGACCCTCCCCGCCCCCAGCTCAGCACTCTCTGAGACACAGCTAAGAGAAAGCCAGCTGGGTGGCCCACTCTGGAAGGTAGATCCTTGGTACCTTAGTGGGTGTGTCTGATGCCCACTCCCACTCACCCCACTGCCCTTCTGCCTGCCGTTGGCTGTGCTGTGCTCATGGCCTGGCCAGAGCTGGCAGGCTCTGGCAGGAGCCCATGTGGTTCAGTCTCTCCCAGGACTTACTGTACTTACTATTGAGACAGTAGTTCCCACACTCTGCCAGGTGCCAGCATGAAAGAGAAAGGGAGAGTCAGCACTCAGACATTGTACTCTGCACGGATCACTGGGAACCAGACCTGCCTGCGTCACAAAGCCCTCCTGTTGATCCAGACCCAAATGGAGGATGGGCTGCTGCAAGAGCCCCTGGAAGTTTCTTCAGGGCACGGCTGGTGCTATTTCCCCCCCTTGGAGCTTATTGCAGAACTAAGGATACGATACGTTTATCATAAGCTCCCACGACTCCACCGTCAACCCATCTTTCTACTATACCTGGAAAAAATGGCTCTCTGCTTGTTACTGTTCTCTAGCTTCAGCCTGCACGTAATCAAGGAACAATAAGCCAGCCAGCCACACGTCTGTCCGGTGCCCTTTGCAGGATTCTGGAGACTAAGCTTTCTTGTGATTAACTAACAGCGAGGCATTCTCCAGAAACCACACCATGAAATACCATGGCGATGCCCTCAATTTAGTCAGGGCATGCAGGTATGCAGGTAAAAAGCTGTTCCATTCAAAAACACCAGCTCTCGGAGTGACCATCAAGCCCGTTTCTCAACTTTCACGGGTTAAGTTTTATTATAAACAAGTTTATATTTTAACCTAACCTTTAGACCTGGCCTTTTCTGGTTTTTTTTTTTTTTTTTTTTGTGGCAATGGCCTGGCGCATGATGAAAATGTCTTGGCATCCCCTCATATCTCTATGCTAAAGCACGTGCCATCATGTGGTGCCAAAACTGCCAATGAAGAACAGCGTTCCACGTGCAAGTTCCATGCCCCACTCCCAAGAGAATCCTCCTCTTGAAAGATTTATAGTTTTTGAAAATGAGTTGAAAGAACAGCTCTCTCTTACAACACACTCACGTGAAGTCAAACAGAGAGGACCATGAGGGTGTCGTAGTTTCACGGTCTCAACACCCAGGAGGTTAGTAGGGAGCACTGCTTCTGGGTACACCTCAGAGCCAGGGAACAATCAGACTGGTCAATTGACAGTCAGGGCAGAATACACTCTTCTAGGGCAGTTTACTCGGTACATAATTCTTTGGTGTACAGGCTGAGCACATCCAATCCCCATAAACTCTGAAGCTTTTTAAAATGCCAACACCTGGAAAGTCCCACACTCGAGACCATGGCATGGGTCACACTCAAAAGGTGGGCACGCTAACAATGCTGCAGGAAATTGCTTCTCGGTTCTACATAAAGGGTATTTATTGGAAACACAAATATCTCATATTGAGATTTGGGTCCCATCGTCAAGATATCAATCACTTCATGTATATGTAAATATTCCAAATTCTAAAAAAAGTCTGTAATTGGAAATTTTTTTGGTTCCAAGCACTTTGGATAAGGCCTATACAACCTAATTTAGTATCTACAAAATATATGGAAACAAATAAAACCTTTGTCTCTCCAAATTGGCCTGAAACTAACTGAAGATCAGTGTAGCTCAAACACTCTTGTTTTTCCAGTGTTTAATGATCCTAAGAAAATAAATTCCCAGCAGTATGCATGACTTGAGTGTTTTAGTAGCAAGTTCTTATGAGTAGCCTTTAAAAAGTGAGGTTTATATCTACTGAAGCAGTTTTCTTACACAATGAAACCAAAAGAAAAAAAAAAAGAAAAGAAAAAAATATTTTTTTAATCACCCAAATCAGCTCTAGCAATATGTGAATCTGCTAAGTTCAGCATAAAATATCTAAGCGCTGATCTTGTGTTAAATCAGCATTGCTCAGGCAAGATGGATCTTTGAAGACCTAGCCTTGCTCAGGAATGTTATGCCTTAGGCCCAGGCCCTGCCTCCGAGGTTGTTGGCTTTGTGGGATGATGAACAGCCCACTTGCTATGGAGAAATGGCCCCACCTAGTGGCCTGCCGGATTCTGCACCACCTGCGTCAGAGCCATACTCGGGACAGGGATCACAGCTAACAAGTTATTTTTGGGGAGTGACCTGTTCGCTATGGGTTAAGAGAACCTCAAGAAAAACAACCGTGTCCTGTGTTCACCCTCCCCAAGGCACTTCAAATACAGAAAAGGCTCTGAGAACTCCCACGGAAGAGAGAGCTGTGTGAATTGAAGTTCCCTTAAAAAGCAAGCAAACACCACACCACCACCACCATCCACGTCCCCGAACACCTATGTAAAAAATTCTGCAAGGCTGATTGACAGATCAGAACTTCTGACTGTGGACAACTGAGCTGTTGCAAACCCAGAGCCAAATCATCTGGTCCTATCTTTAGCCTCCTTAATTGCCGCCCATTGTAAAGTCTTCGTGACTATCACATGAAACCCTGGGATGCGTTTACAAAGCAGAATGTCATCAGACAACATCTGAGACCGATAACATGAACTTCCCTGCTTTCCTGTAACCCACCTATCTGATATTCCCACCAATGAATTTTAATTAGGCCTTGACTTATCACCATTTCCCCCCTATAACTATTGACACCTCAGGAACACCATTAGTACATTGGCACAGGGTATTGGAGGCAGTCTGAATGTGTGTTCCTGGCAATCTGAATTCACGAGTAATGCCACACATATTTGGCTTCAAAATAAACTATTTCTCATTCCTTTTGAGGCGGGAACTGTGTGTTGAGTTAATAGCTGTTAACTGTTTAACTCAGATTTATCCAAGTTTATCTGACCACAGATCCCAGCTCCTGTCTTGTTCATGTGAAAGCACCTGTTTGTAAGTGTTGGGGAGATTGTAAAGGGAGAATTGTATGAAAAAAAATCAGTCATTAATAGACCTTAAAACCCTTTCCACACGGTTTGAAAGGCTGAGCTCTAAATTATTGACAACTTATTTAGACACAGGAACCTGGAGGGACTGAGAACCGAGGTAGATAAGTGTGATGAGAATTCAGAAAAAAAGGGAAGAAAGGTCCAATGATGGAAACAGCTCTGGGGGTTAGCCTTGCTGACATCCCTCTTGAGATGAGAAGGAATCTCACTATAGTAGCATTGCATGAAGTGCTACAGTTTGGTGGGAAAGATTTCTGAAATTTCTGAAGATTTCAGAGTCTTCAAATCAGCAGTGAGGTGACCAAAGAAGTCTAGCCTTATGGTTTTGTTGACACCTGAAGTGATGGCTGAGGTAGAGAAGGACCTGTCACTCCACTAGCTTTATGGGTCTGAGGTTGACACTGGGAGACTTGATTCTGTGCAGCTCCAGATGCGACAGAGGAACCTTGGCCTGTGGATCCTCTCAGAGGCTATGTGGGCACTATTACTGTATTACTGCTCTCTCCCACCTCACAGGGAGGACAAAGTGTGCGTGCGTGCATGTGTGTGTGTGTGTGTGTGTGTGTGTGTGTGTGTGTGTGTGTGTGTGTGTGTGTACTCCCCATGGTGGTCTGCAGGCCCGCACAGGTTTGGAATCTTTTTCTCACCCTATCTTCATATGATGAGACGTGTCAGATGTCCTGACTACAGCCCTGAGGAGTACAGCAAAAGCAGAGAAACGCTCTAGAAAATCACCTTCCTCCTGGAGAAAATGCTGTTCGAGTGGCTTACGTGAGGTCTGGTTCTGGGTATTAACGCAATAGTCCACTCCTTGCTTAAAATAACATCAAGAATAATAAAAATCAGAGGACATGCATGTAATCACAGCACTCGGGAGGCTGAGGCAGGGGTGTCTGCAATGATACAGGTCATCATGGGCTGCTCAGTGAGTACCGGGCCAGCCAGAGCTGCACAGCAAGACCAGGTCTAAAAAAAAAAAAAAATCATAAGCAACACTAACAAAAACTCCAGACCAGTCAAACTTCTGTGGAGAACGTTTAGAACAGGTTCTCGTTTTGGAGTTTAGTTCAGTTATGAAGTAGGAAAATCTCCAGCGGTTGCATGCAGAAGAGGCACCTTGCTAAACGATACAGGATTCTCCCTGACAACCGCAGATGGTTTCCAAGCATTCTTGCTCTTTGCAGCTTTGGCTCTACCCCAGCTTCCAGTGTCTTCCCTCGCTAAGGAACATAGCCACGGCCTATCTCTCTTCCCTTTCTTTCCAACCCTTCCGATGGAGAAGATGCCCAATATCACAGCAGCAGTGGAGGTCACCACTCACAGTTTCGTGCCTACTGCCACCTGAAGAAACTGTCACAGAGCCCCTTTAATCCTCCCAGGTCATTGTCATGGGAGAGGAGATATGGGATGTAGGCAAGACCTCCCATATAGCATCCTTCCTGGCATTTGCAAAGCCTCCATTTCCTAAGCAGTATTTTCACTTCAGAGCTGGAGGGGATGCTAGGGCCACATGCAGGGCAGCTGAGGGTTCACCAGCCTCTAGCCTGCTTTGCTGGTAAAGAGCCCCGGCCTACTTCTTCAGATCTTATAGGAGCCCAGGCTCTTGCTGAGGTCTGCCCTCCCATTCTGGTGAGATCTGTTTCTCACTGGCCATGAGCCTAGAGTCCCAGAGCCACTATGTGAGCACGGTATATCTGAGCCAGACGAAGTTCTGTATCAGGACACAGGGCTAACAAGGGCATAACCTGTCTTTTCCTTCTCTCTTTAACCCTCAAAGCTAAGTGTTCACATAACCCAGACCCTATATTGAGACAATTAGTGTCAGAAGCAAGCTCGATGAGTCTATTGTGACCCTCCAGACTTAGGGCCAACACTGAAGGATGAGCTCCAAATTCAAATTTTGTTCCTTTCTGTGTGTGTGCACATACATATATATGCACATGTATATATGAGTTCATGCTGGTATGTGCACACATGTCTGTACTTGTGTGTGGAAGACAGAGGTTGACATCAGATGTCTTTCTCAGTCACTCTCCACCATTTATTATCTACATTTATTTATTTATATTTATTTATTATTTTTGAGACAGGATCGCTCACTGAGGCCGGAGCTTACCAGTTCCACAAGACTAGCTGGTTGACATGCCCCAGTATTTTCCTGTCCCCACGTTTCACCCAGGCTTTTTACATGGGTGCTGGGGAGCTGAATTCAGGTGTCTGTGTTTACACAGTAAGTACTTTATCAGCTGAGCCATTTCCCCTGACTCCACACCCAATTTCCTAAAGGAACAGGCCACTTCTGAAGTAGCCCCTCCTTCAAATATCACCCATTAGCTCTTTACCAATGCGCTTGTTAGAATTAGAATCATCTGAGATTCATAAACAGTTACTCTTCTTTGCTTTAAAAAAAAAAGGTATGATGTCATGCTCTGTCAGACTCCAGAAGTCATTTTAAATGTAAGGGATGCTACTAAGCTGTTTGACTGGCAAACTGACACCTTTCGTATTTTCCATGGCTGCTGTAAAGAATTCCTTTACCCTCCCGTGTGCAAACTATCTACCTGTAAAATTTAGAGTGTTCTTCTTTTGGTAAAAACCAGGCATCTGTAACAAGTGGAAACACGAGAAAACCATCAGGGGTTCTTTCACGAGTTCACTGATCAATTTCCTTCAGACCTGCTTGCTTGAGTCCAAAACTAGCTCTAAGGCGGGCGGGTCATTCAGACGTTAGAAATAAGATGGTCGATGTAGTCTAGACTATGGGTGTATATGGACAGGCATAGACAGGCCACTGCTAGATGTCCAGACCATGGCTTCTGCTTCCCTGAAGTAGGTATAGGAAGAGTCAAGTAGAGTCTGTGGTTTGGGGCCCACCCGACCTTTCAGACGGGGACTTCCACAGCACCTGCTAGAGGAGCTTATTTCTCTCATCGGTAATAATAGTGGCTAGTATCAGTGTGGCCATCGGCAGGCAGCCTTCCACATGTTTCTAGACGTTGCCTCATTTAGTCTGTACTGCAGTTCCTGGTGAATGAGAACATTTGAGACACAGACTGGTTCAGTCCCATGGAATAGAGCGCTGGACAGATGGTTGTGCATACTTTCCTTTGGAGAACCAATGCATTGTTCATATTCTTCTTCAGCAATTATAGTAGCTTACACGATGTAATGGCTACCTGATCTATTACTGAAGCTGTTGATCAAAATGACCAATATAGCTGTACCTGTAATACCAATTCTCCCCTTAAGAGTACTGCTCTCACCATCCCTGGGAGTGCCAGCATCTTGGGAGGTTGAGGCAGTAGGTTTGTAGATTCAAGGCCTATCTGGACTACAGATGAGTTCAAGGCTAGTCTGGGCCACTTAGTGTGCTATTCTTTCAAAATAAAAAAAAAAAAAAACTACAGAAAGGGCTGGGTATATATTTCAGTGACAGAGTGTTTGCCGAGTGTGTGTGAGGCTCTGGGTTCAAGTCTCAGTACTATGAAGAAAAATTAAAATTAGTGGTCCCCGTAAATCAGTTTGTGGCCTCGATGCCCTCCAAGAAGCCAAGCCAAGACCTCAAATATACCTTTCTGGCAGTTCAGACCCTCGAAGCCCAAGGGACAGTCACACTCATAACCCTCCTTCCTGGGCCGACAGCTGCCCCCATGGGCACAGGGGTCCCCCACACAGGGGTGGGCCGCATTCTCCACATTCACACCAGATGTAAAGTCGTGTTTCACGTGGATGGTCCGGTCATTCAGGATGATCTAAGGATAGAGAAACACAAAGAAATTCAAGACTTGGGGAAAACAAACTTGCAGTTTACCAACCTGAGCTACATATAATGAAGGAGGTTAACAACAAAAGAAAATCTGTCTGCTGGTCTGGTGGTCCTTCAAATGAAGGGCAACGGAAAGGTACTTGGGGGGAAGCTGCAGAGGAGGGCCCTCTGTTGTGATCAGTTACCTCTGAAAACCTAAGCATTCCATCCCACAGGGACACTCCATAAGACAGGAAGTAAACAACTCAAAACAGCTCCAGGAACTCCCTGAAACTGACCAGATTTACTTGGGCCCTTTCTCCTGGGAGTACATGAACAGTAAAGCCTGCTGAGAGACAGGCAAGCTAAGCTATCACGAAGACTCTCAGACTGAGCTGCCCAGGGCCTGGCAGCCTGGAAGAAACAGAGATGGGCCCATAACCTGGAGGAGGCAGAGACCAGACAGACTGCACAGAAGACGATCAGACCAACTGAACCTCTGGGAAAGGACACTCCAACATGTTGAGCCACCTGTAGACTGTGCTGTGCTCCAGGTTTCTGGCTTTTGTGAGCTGTCACCCCTGCTGGGGTGGGCTTTGGTGATGCAGCTGTTTTTGAATGATTTCTGCTTCTGGAAGTGACCCCTCACCCATATTCCTCTATGCCAGCTTCCTGGTATACTTCCTTCATATACTGTGGGATGTCACCGACATCAGAACCCCGGCCTTGCTGACTCTCCCACCCACTCTCCTGGTCTTTCTTCTTCAACATTTCTGAGTTTCCTCCCTCTCCGTGCCCTCTACAGAACTGCAGCAAAGCTCAGGCTCTGCCTTTGCTCCACTGTGCATATACTTCCTGAGGCAAGGAGCGTTGCTGCTTCTTCTTTCCTGACAGACGGCTCTGGGCAAAGTAATATATTACTGGGAAATGTGACTGGGTGCCTTACCTTCTCCCAACTCTTTAGCCCTTGACCTAGCATGCAGAATGCCCATGTCCATCGAGCTGCTGCTGCTAGCCTTGCCAAACTGAGAGACACAGAAGTACCCTGGGGGATCCCCCCATTGTCTGGGGTGTTAGGTTAGCAGAGGTGCTTCTTACTGGGACTCTACCTCCATTTCCAAAGATGTACCTCAGCCTTGGTGAGTGTTTCGAGGTTAGGAGGAAACCTCTCGAGGCCCTGAATCTGAGAATCCACTGGTGAGGAGCCTGACCCTTCTCTAAGCTCCTTCCTTCATGCTGCATGTGAAAAATATGAAATCCAGCAGTATGTGCTCCAGCCAATATAAGCCCGGCCCTTGTCTCCTGCTGGCCATGGCAGAGCCAGTGCCTCAAAAGGGAAGGACAGCCTTTCTAGAGGGCAGGGGAGAGGGACCGTGTGCCCTGTGAGCCAGAGGCAAAGCTTGAAGAGGGAGGGCGGTGTGGGTGAGCTTTTTCATACCTCGAACCTGTGCGAATGTGACCAGTACCTCTTGTGGGGAACCAAGGTCTGATCTGAGATGCCAAGGGTACTGTAGTTCAGCAACAGAAAGGCTTGTGGGAGCAAGCAGATGTTGGCCGGACTTTTCCTAAACCAACACACACACACACCAGGGGCCTTCCCCAAATTGTGATAGGACGTCCTTCTAGTGCGGCCACTCTCTCGTCTTTTACTCTCATACTTTGTCATGGGTCCTCCCTTGATCCCCATGCCACCCGTCATCACTAAAGTCATCACTAAAGGGAAGCATGATGAGGCGGAGCAAGGGTCCAAGCTCACTCTTCTCCAGTGCTGGCAACCCTGCAAGTCTGGGCTCTGAGTCAGTCTGCACCTCCGTAGCCAACGCATTCTCATGACCTGAGGGATCTTGGGCAACCCCAAGAGAAGGAGTAGGAAGATATGTGGGAGTGGGCTCAGCATCTTCCACTGGCCAAGCACTTTTTTTATAATCACCCTTCTGGAGCATGTCTCTGGAACCCGAGAGCTCCACTGTGTGATTGATGAGGAACAACCGCTCGTAGGTGGGTGGGTGGGTGGGTGGGTGGGTGGGTGGCAATGACAGCTGGCTCTTACGTGGAACCAACTCCACAGTGACTCAGAGAGCAGCCTAAGCTGAGCTTGCTCCCTGCCTCTGCTTGCCCCTTTCCTGGTCACACAAGTATCTGTGGCATCCTGGTGTCAGGTACCTCTCCTGATAACCCTAGAAAAGTTGGGGAATTTCTGCTGGAAAAAAAAAAAAATTCACCTTGACTTCACAGAATCACTCTGTACTGAACAGAAACCCAGGAACAAGTGTGTGGAAAACTAGACTGTAAGCATTAAAAAGTAAAATTGTAACCATTTCGGCATTTTCTGAAACCATTTTCCTGAGGCAGAGCAGATAACGTTGATTATAACACTTAACACTGTGTACAGTAAGAATAACATCAAGCACGAGGAAGCAAAGCCGTACCTTCTGGATGCTCCCACTAAACGGATGGAGGATGCCCGAGTTCTTCTTGACATCATCGTAGTTTGGGACTCCACCAATAAAAATGTCCGTATTACACTTAATCTGGGTGAAGCCCCCCTGCCAAGACATAAAAAAATAGCAAGTCCCAGACTAACTTTAGGATAGATGGTGACAACATCCTCCAGAGCATCACAGCAACCTGGCTGCACACTGGCTGGACCTTCACATTGTTTTGTGTGGTAACTGAACATATGGACTTGAGGCTCAGCTTCATTGTGTGTAAATAGGATCCTAATATAATATCTGAATCCCAATGCATGTATAGGCTGAAAGGACCAAGCAGATGCCATTACAGGCTGCTCAGTCTTCTCTCAGAGATCAGGCCTCAGTTTCAGTTTCCTGAGACTTGAGCAAGCAGTTTCTGGGAGGGCCATGAACAAAAGACATAGTCCTTGCAGTAGCTCCCTTTCTGCATGTAAGCTCCCATTTCTGACCGTTCAAGGTTCAGCTAGTTGTTTACTGTCTGGGACCCCTCATCAACTTAGAGCTATATGCATGGGTCGATGTGAAAGCCTGGGCCACCAAGCCAGCCCTGACAACCAATATGTGCTAGGCCAGCCAGCCTCCATGGCAGCTCAAGGACAAAGCTTGAGACTTGTCCAGGCCTGCCCAAAAATGGATAACTGTAACCCCCAACTAACCTTAGCCAATTAAAAGTTACTAACATGATTGCCACTCACATAAACCAATCCTGAGTCTGTTCCAACATACTCTGTAGACCCCAAGCCCTTCTTGCTTTAAAAACCCTGTGACGGAGAGTCCTGAGTTAACCCATAGTAGTAAAAAGATGCTTTGCTTTTGCATAGGATTCGGTCTCTTGGTGGTCTTTAGGGGACTCTGGGTACAACATAGACTACATCACTGTCCACTGATGAGCAGTGCTCATACTCCACCCTCAGGAAAACTGTCTCCCAATGGTGGAGCTCAGGTGAGACCATGGAGCAGAAAAGCAATGAACTTCTCTGGGCAGAAGATTTCAGAACTTGGGAGTGGACCTCTGTACCCTTTCTGCCCTCTCCTTCCTTCAGTCTGGCTCTTAAGTAAAAGCTGTATTGAGTCACTGGTGGCCATGTGCATGAGTGAGAACTAACCCTGTGTTATAAACAGATGATGTTCCAGAGTTGTTGGTAACAGTCTAGCCTATTCTGAGGGCTGGGATTCTCCTTAATTAGACTTTGCTCAGCGTTAAATACACTATCAGTATTCCAATATGTACCTACTGCTCTGTTTGGGAATGGCATGGATAGAACCTCTCCAAGACAAAGGACAAAGGGAATGCATCTGGTGGGTTCTTGTGATCAAATAAATGTAAATAGCAAAGAAGTTTTCCTATCCTCCCAGTTCTTGGGGAATACCTCTGTCCTCCCTTGGTTCCAGGTAGCAAGATATGTATAACACTATCTAATTTCAACATAAGCCATAAAAAATATGTGAAGTTACCATAAGATAACAGAAATAAGCCAAAGTCTGAGATCATTGGGCATCAAAACACTTTAGGAAACACAAGGTATTATTTTTGGAGTTGGAAAGATGGCGCAGTGGTTAAGAGTGCTTGCTGAATAATCAGGACCAGAGTTCAAACCATAGCACCCATGTAATAAGCCAGGGATTTCACAAATGCCTCCAGGGAATCCATCAGCCTCTTCTCGCCCCTCCTCCCCCATACATGGGGTGTGTGTGCACACACACAGGGTCACACATGCTCACACAGACACAGATACTCACACACGTAAATCAATATTTTAAAACATTACATATTTATGACAAACGAAACACAAATAGTAGTGTCATTAAACCACTTAACAAACATGAGGCATCTACTTATTGTACTAAAGAGATGTATTGAATGCTATAAGAAAGACCCAGTCCTTGCCTTCTGTGGGTTTATACTAATGGGTAACATGGGCCAAGTCCATGGGTAGCTGGAATCACAGCAGGTGAGGATGCCCAGGTTCCTATGAGTGTACCTGAGGATGGGGAGGTCTCTTACCTCACCCTGGACATAGGGAGTGGGAGAGCTGGCCAAGGAAGAGCAACAACTGTGGAACTGGAAGAAGTCAGGGTTGCGGGGGTCAGAGTAGCACAGGGCCAGGAGGACCGGGTAGTGCAGGACCCCAGGCGCCACGTGAGGAGTTTGAACTTGACCCAAAAGGCAGCAAGTCTGAAGCAAGAGAGGGCTATGCATTCTAGGAAGATCATTGGTCAGAGGGAGGAGAGTGGATTGGGGATCACATCAAGGGTGAAGAAAAAGAGACAGATGATCATGGAGAACCATGCTCCATTTACCTCTAGGAGTACCTACAGGGCCTGACTCCTGCTGTTTGTAATGCTGGGGATGGAGCCTAAGCCTGGTCCATGCTAGGCTAGGACAGTACCAGTGAGCTAAACCCCAGCCCCTTTACAGTTCTTAATTCAAGGCAAGGTCATGAAGGAAGCACAGGGACCTTCTGGAATCCTTGTGGTCCAACAGAAAATTTGCTCAAGCTGAAGTTGTCACATACAAGCCTTTCTCCCTTGTCTTTGACCCCAGAGTTGAGTTATTAGAGGAAAGGAAGAAGACTGTGGAGTCAACGGCAGGCTGTTCTTTGAGTCAAACTCAAAGTTCTGAAAGGTCTTTGAGTTCCACTGTGTCCTGGGAATGGGATGAGAACAGCATCATTTGGGCTTTTGAACAACCGTCCCTCCTGCTGACAGAGGCAAGGCTCAGCGGTCACAGCCAAGGAAGGAAAGAGGTAGCCTATAGTTTCATGCCAATTGTCCTCATCTCCTCTTTAAAGAACGTTGTTTTTCTTTGGATGGGACCTTGGAAATAAAATCAACTACAGTGGAAATTCTGTGCCCTTGAGTCGACAGTAGCCCAGTCTTAACTAATGAGACCAGCAAGTGAAGCAATATAGAGCTGACCCTGTGCCGGGCCCTGCTGTGAGCCGCTGATGCAGTTCTCCTAATTCTCACAAGGACTCTCCGCTGTGTGCTGTCATCATCAGGATTGTCTCCACTGATATGAGGATAATGGTGCCAATGAGATAAACATAAGCTCAGCCGTCACATGACCAGCCTGAGCTCACACTGCTGGTGAGCGGTGAAGCTGGATTGGGAAGCTCAGGAGTTTTGTTTTGTAGCATGTTCTTGACAAACACATCATCCCTATACTCCTGGGTCTGTGACCTCAGCTACCACATCATCTAGATGGCAAGGACAGGTTGGGGTGTGTGTGTGTGTGTGTGTGTGTGTGTGTGTGTGTGTGTGTGTGTGTGTATGTGTGTGAAAGGAGAGTTCTTAAAAAGCGCCCTGCTTACTAAGTATTAGCTAAGGTATAACTCACAGGTTTATAGCAGCCCTGTGAGGTCAGCACCATTGTTCCCATTCCCCTTTATAGTGACAGAATAGAACCATAATTGTCTAATGCAGAGCTGGGATTTCAGCCTCAGCACTAAAATCTGTGTACTCAGATGCTACATGATGTCGTTTTAAGTAAAACAACATTTATGTGGTGTGTATGTGTGTGTGTGTGTGTGTGTGTGTGTGTGTGTGTGTGTGTGTGTTTACATACATGATGTACTATAGCACCGTGTTAAGGTCAGAGGACAACTTGCAGGAGTCAGTTCTCTCCTTCCACTCTGTGGATTCTGGGAATCAAACAGGTTATCAACCTTGGTGGCAAGCACTTTAGCCCCCCTGAGCCACTTAGCAGCCCCCTTCATGCTACTTTTCTACCAACATCAATGGAAAACAATGGTCTGGGCCACACCAACCACTGAGAGAAGCAAGTGTGTCCTTACCGCTGCCATTCCCTCTACCGCCTTCTGCTTGTCCACCTGTAAGATACCATTCTTCGCTGTGCGAGACACACGCAGCTCGTGCCATTGGCCGAGGGTGAGGGGATCCTCACTCCTGTCAAAGAAAGATGTGGCGTTAACATTCTATGTCCACTTGACTGCGCGAAGAAACCCAGCTGACAGGTACAGAATTTTGTGGGGGTGTCTCTATGAGGGATTTCTGAGAGCTAAGCCTTTGAATTGGTGAACTGACTAAAGAAGACAGCCTTCATTAATGCACTTAGACATTATCTAATCTGCTGTGGGTTCGAACAGAATGAAAAGTCAGGAGAAGTGTGGGCTTTCTCCCTTTGCTGGAGTTTGGGCATCCCTCTTGTCCTGCTCTTGGACAGTAGCACTACTCCTAGTTCTTAAGACATGACTCAGAACTTGTCACCAGTGTTCTGACTCTTGGCCCTTTGGACTCACACTGGGATTTGTGCCATGGACTCACCTGTAGCCTTGGGCAGAACTGCACCATAGGCTTTCTTGGCTTCCAGCCTCCCTGAAGAAAACTGTGGAATGCTTCAGTACCCATAATCATAAGAGATAGTCTCACCAGACAAATGTCTTCCTACACCTCTATCTATACCCCTACTGACTCTGTTTCTTTGGAGACTCCTAACCAATATAGATGGAAACCGAACATGAGTTGGCATGTCACAGGTGTGCACTACCATTCCATCAGTACATGATGACGTGATGAAATGCATGCCACCATAGGCACCCACCTGTATTAGTTACTTTTCAGGTTGCTGTGCTCAAATACCCAACAAGAAGCAACTTAACAGAGAGAGGGGTTATTTTGGCTTGCAGCTGCAGAAAAGATACCAAGTCCTAGTGGAGATGGCGTAGATAATCTGACTCCCCTCGGTGAATGACTGTGATGTGGCAGAGTAAGCCAGGTCAAGCTTCTCCTCCACAAGCTGTTTTTTATCATGGTGTTTTGTCACAGTGATAGAGAGCAGCTAGGACACCCAGCAAGCATGTTTACCAGCTGATCCATCTTGTGAGCCCCATTTGGCTTTTTTTTTTTTTTTCTGGGGGTCCGGCTCCATTTTATATCTTTTTTTTTTTTTTTTTTTTTTTTTAAGATTTATTTATTATGTTTACAGTGTTCTGCTTGCATGGCCAGAAGAGGGCGCCAGATCTCATTACAGATGGTTGTGAGTCACCATGTGGTTGCTGGGAATTGAACTCAGGACCTTTGGAAGAGCAAGCAGTGCTCTTAACCTCTGAGCCATCTCTCCAGCCCCCATTTGGCTTTTAAGACAAGGTCTTGCCGGGCGGTGGTGGCACATGCCTTTAATCCCAGCACTCGGGAGGCAGAGGCAGGCGGATCTTTGTGAGTTCGAGGCCAGCCTGCTCTACAGTGAGAGATCCAGGAAAGGCGCAAAGCTACACAGAAAGCCCTGTCTCGAAAAACCAAAAAAAAAAAAAAAAAAAAGACAAGGTCTCACTATGTAAATCTGACTTGCTGTGTACACCAGGCTGCCCTTGTACTCACAGAGTTCTGCCTGCCTCTGCCTCTTGTGTGCTAGGATTACAGATGTGCACCATCATACCTGGCTCATTTTGAAATTTTTCATAATAGAATATTGGGAAAAAAATGCTCTAGTTTGAAAATGCCCTCAAAGATCATGTGTTAAAAGTTTAATCCCCAGTGCCCCACTGAGAGTTGTGAACTTTGGGAGACCAAAAGATGGTCTTTGCCTCATGAGTCGATTAATGTCATGATCACTTGGGCTTTTTCATAAAAGTCTAGGTTTCAGTCCCTTCCTTCCTGCACACTCATGCAGATGTGTTCTCATATCCATCTATTTCTCCCGTGGGGTGACACAAGAAGGCCCTTGCCAGGATGCACGTTATTTGACCTTGGATTTCCGAGGCTCAATGAAGTTTCTGCTCTTCACAAATTCTTCCTGTTTCCCACAGTCTGTTAGAGTGGCACACAAAGAATGAGGACATGGGGAAACAGAGTCTGTGTTTACTGGTGCTTTGAATGGGATTCAGATGACCTTAAAAGTTCAGTTACTAAGTTAACGTGGGAGCACTTGATGCTGAAATGTTACTTGCAGAGGTTCCACACATTACTTTTTAGAGTGAGGTGTGCAGAAAGAATGTAATTATTGCATTTCTATTTCTAACAATGTCTAGCTTTTGGCCTTCACTGAACCTCCCAATTACTTTTCGGTCCGGTATCATCTTTAGAAAACTAAGAAGAATACCAATGGCATGATTATTAAAGGGTCAGCACCCCCTAATTTGATTCCTTTGCTCAGGCAAATGCTTTTGTGATTTGTCCTTAGCAATTAGAATTTAATCACCTTGGCTAAATCAATATGCAATAAAGAAACAAGCAGGCCTTTTTAAGTGGTCTATTTCCATAATGACTAACAGCATACTTGTCATGTTCCTGTCCTGCAGAGGTCACTGCCTGTCAATCCGATACCGTCTTCTGCACAGTTATATTGATCACAGTCATCGAAAGCTCATTCCAATTGTCTTGATGTTTGAATCAAACTCATAATGATTTTGACCACAATACCCTTTTCCTAAAATTAAAATGACTGGGCCAATTCCATAATTTCCTATGCTTCAGACTTTCACCAAATTTTCTTAATTAAGTGGCGATTCTTTGAAACAGTTTTCAAAATAAATAACTTCCCAAGAGGCATGTGAGATATTAATAGTGATCCCTGCTGTCAGCTGGGATGACCTTGCATGGGACATGACCCTGCATGGAACAGAGGTGGGATGGGAGGCCAATGGTAGTTTAATCTCTGGTGAATCTTGTCTTGTTTTCACTCAGGATCCAAGAATTTTTTTTTCTCTAATCACTTTCCCTGACAGGTAGGAAGAGGATAACTCACAGAGTAAAAAAACTAAAATGCCTCTTATTGAAAATTGGCATAGACGTTTGATAAAGAAATGTTGGACACCCTAGGCTCTCGCTGCCAGTGACCCCAAACTGGGATCTGCTATTGCAGAGGGGCAGGTGGGAGGGGCCAGTGTTCAGAAGGAGTGCGAGGCATACCTGTGCCTCCAGATCTTAAGGTCACTCTTTATCCTGAAGGGGTGATTCAAAGTGCAAGGTGATTATCAAGGTGTTGTACTCTCTAAACCTGACATATAGTTCTAAGTGAATTGCTTATGCTGTTTTGCATAATCATATGTAAGTTGAATCAATTAAATACCCACAAAAGTTGTCTTGAGATATAGAATGTTTTACATAACTAGAGGGAAAAAATATTTGTCCCTTCCCCAGGGTGGGAGGTGTCACCTGATGTAGAAACTCAGCCACAAGGACAAAAAAAAAAAATCCTTTGACTAACAGTTGAATCTTAATAGAGACAGCATTTCCCATCAACCATAAAAAATATAGTCATCAGTTTAGGGAAATGAGTGGTGTTAACATCTCCCCCACAAATGACTTCTAAAAATGCCAGGCTAGCAAAATGAACAACCACTGAGTACAGCCACAATTTCCTTGGAAGTAACAACAGACTGAAAGCCTGTGGCGAGGTTTAAGCAAAGTCCCAGGCACTTTCAAAAAAAGAATTAGACAAACATAGCAATGGTGACCTCTGTATTAGATTAGGGGCCCTTGAGCTTGAAGGTTAAAAGTACTCCAAGAGAAGCATAGTGAGAGGCCACGCTGTCACTGACATCTCAGTATTTATGTTTACACCCATAGACCTGGGCTGCTCTCAACATGGGTCAGACAAACTTTTTTCCGAAGTGCGCAGTAGCCAATGGAAAGATGCACAACAGAAAGCAAGTTAAACAGGACAACTAGATCTCTCCCATTGCCACCCCCACCCATCCACCCCGCCACCAAGAGATCAGTAAAGAAGAGGAGGCAGAAAGAATGTAGGAGCCAGAGGATGGGGAAGAGCGCTATAGCATGCTGTGTTCTGGACTTTGTGTGGCTATGGCCAGTGTCAACTCACAGAAGCTCTAGTTTCCTGTGCACGATCAAGCCAGGAAAACGCTGGCAAAGATGTGGAAGGTGATTTCCAGCTCCCATGTCTTATCAAGGAGCTATTGGCAGTTGGCAGTTGCTGGGAAAAGGAGAGCCATTCTTTTTGTGGGGTGTGGCCACTGGTGCGATTCCCAGGACCCCGTAGATGGCCCTGCACCCACAAACATACAGGCAACACTAACTGGACTTAGTGAGTTATTAAAAAAAAAAAAGGATATGAAGTTGGGAAGGAAATGTGTTGGGAAGAACTGAAGGTGTAAACAGGAGAATAGATATGATTATATTTCACTGCATATATGTATAGAATTCTAAAGAATAAAGAAAAACTTCATATTTTAAAAATAAAACACAAATTATTATTTTTTAAATGAGGAGACATAAACAAGAAAAATTCACATCTACCAAACAAGGCTCCGAGGGACTCCAAAGGCCATGGAACCACTGTAGGAACCACAAGGGCTCTTTGAAGGTATTTAATAGTTCAGACTAGATAACAAGATGAAAGTTTTGGCTGCTCTCACCAATTTGGCAAGGATGATTTTTTTTTTTTGGATCAAATGCTTTAAGAGTCCCCTCTACTGTCATGCTACTGAAACCTCATCCTATGTCCTACCCCAACATTTGTGGAGGAGTCACTATCAGTCTCCTTCCTGGGAAATGAGCATGTAAGACAATCGCCAAGTTGTGAGTTACCATCAGGGAAACAGTTTGTAATTTGATCTTTCTGGAGTATACATATGTGTATGTGTATATGCATATGTGGTGCCTTGTGTGTGCGTGTGTGTGTGTGTGTGTGTGTGTGTGTGTGTGTGTGTGTGTGTGTGCCCCTGCATGTGTATATTGAGGCCAGAGGTTGATGTCAGGTGTGCTTCTCAAGCACTATTCACCTTGATTTTGGAGACAGGGTTTCTCACTGAACCTGGAGCTCACTAATTAGGTTAGAAGGGCTGGCCAGTGAGTTCTGAGGATCCGCCTGTTTGCCCCCAAGTGTTGAACTTTCAGATGTGTGCTGCTGCTCTTGGCTATGACATGGGTGCTGGGGATCTGACCTCAGGTTCCCATTCCAGTGCAGGAGGCACTTTAGTGACTGAATCATATCTCACCAGCCCCTATTAATAGTTTTTTCATAGTCAACATTTGTTTGTGGAGTGCCCAACATACGCTGCTCTGGGTGAGGTGAGGATAGTTCCCTGAGTGGCTGGCTACTGATGGTACTGCATGGCCTCAGGGGAAAATGGAGGCAGGTTGCTCCCATAGGAAGCAAGCCCATTTTTCATAATCTGGAGCTGGGAATTAATACCTGTTTGATAGATATTTAGTGAAAGAAGGGAAGGAGGGAGGGAAGGAGGAAGGGAGAGAGAAGAGGAGGAGAGTAAGTACATGATCTACAGGTGGCTTGGCATCGTTCAGAAGCAGGGCAGGCTTCCATGGATGCTGGCAAAGAGAAAACAGGAAGAGGGTGGTGGGTAGCAATTTAGTGGTCATAGTGGCGGCTGTGGCTTTGGAGAGGAGGATGTTGCACAAGGCTTTGGCCCTCACCTGAGAATTCCAGTCCCAGAACCACAGTCGAAGCGGAATTCCACGTGGCCCTCAGCCATATTGATGGACAGGAAGTCCTTGCTGCCCGTGTCATAGCTGTACAGAAGGACACCATCTGCTGAGTCTGGCCGAAAAGTGATCTCGAACTCCGTGAAAGAAAGATAATGCTGGGGCTCCAGGGGCCAGGGTGTGGCAGCGTAGGACCTCAGCGACTCTCTGAACTGAGGGATGGTCAGGGCGAATGCTGAAGAGACAAGCAGAGTGTTAAGAGATCCCGGTGCGGCGTGAGACCAGCCAGTGGCTTGCATGGAGCTGCGAAGCTTTCCTTCTGGGCAGGGACTTACCTACATCTCCTAGCTGCCCTGAGGGTAGTGGGTGGTCTGGCTGAGTTCTGTCAGGGGAGTGTGGGTGAAATATATGGTACCTCCAGCCTGTCCCTAAAACTTTCTTCCTTCCCTGGTGCTCATCTCTTCTCCTGACATGACGGCTAGGTAAATGATTCTGAGGGGTGGAGACTTTGCTCCCATATGACTTCATGGAGCAGAACAACCTCCAAAACTACTGACCTGAGGTGACATAGCAGGAGAGCAAGAATCAGCCCCTCTTACGTGAGGATAAAGAAACCCTAGATGTCCCCGGCCAGCCCTGGCTCACTTACACCCTTCCACAGACATCCGTGGAAATATTTTCCCCCGTGTAGTGTCTTAGTTTCAATCCTGAATCATTCGTAGATAAATCTGAGTACTTTTGTAATCTTACTTCCAATTTTATTCTCTTTTGTCTTTAATTTTTGATTTCTGGAAAAATTAAAGTGGGTTCAAGCCTTCATGTTTTTCCCCCAATCTTTAAAACTTTCAGTTATTATTTCTGAGTGTTTGTATGTACATATTGTGTGTGGTTGTACACTACATGTATATGTACATACGTGTCTGCCTACATGTGTGTATTTACATGATACAGTATAGAAAGAAGGGATAAATTGTTAGATCAGAGGAAAGAAGTAAAATGAAGAACACATTTGTCTTATCGTGTTATTTATTTTTGCTTACACTTTGCCAATATTTTCTTGGAAACTGTTGGATATTATAAAGAACATGAGGTTTTCGAACACTTAAGTCAGTCTTTACAAACCACACGGATACAGGCTTTCCAAGGATGGAGGAGCCAGCTCATGCTTAACTTATTAAAAGGAACATGTCTGTGGTTGGTTTAAAGCTTTGACTCCCTGAGACTCTCCCACCCCTCCCAGCAAAGCAACCTGGATCCCTTAAGAACTTGCAGGACTTTGCTAAATGGGCATGATGGAGAGCTGCATCTACATGCATCCCCACACAGCCAGGGCCCACGGTCTCACCGTCTTCACAGTGCCGACCTCTGAATCCCAGGGGACAGAGGCAGATGTAGGAGTCAGCTTTGGTGGCTGCACAGGTTCCTCCGTTGATGCAGGAGGCCTCGTCACAGATTCCACTGCTGCATTCCCCTAAACAGAGTGCGGGTCACAAAGCCAGGTCACCAGGTGCTGACCCCAGCACCATGGAGAGCCCCTCTGTCTGCTGTCCACCCTTGCATAACGGACCAGCTCTCAGCAGAGGGGAACCTGCTCTTCTTTACTTTCTCTCATGTTGGTTCATCCCCCGAAAGAGCTAAAGACTTTTCCAAACATGATGGACACAATAAATCAAAGGACACATTTTATAACCACCAAAGGGGATGATGGAACTGTTCCTGCTTTTAATCCATCTCTCTGCTGTTCCCGAAAGTGGCATGAACAGCAACTCCCCCATCCCCCGAGTGTTTATGTTAAAAGCGTCCTCATTGTGTGACCCCAATTAGCTTAAGTGCCGCTGCCTCACTGGTTCAAAGCTCAGCCACACAAGGCAAGCCTGGAAACAGAAGAACTCCATCACTGAGCTTCTCTACTGGGGCAGGATGAGGGGAGGTGCCACGGTGCCTTGGCACATGCTTTGGAAGCCTGGTTTTCTTTCTAGTTAGTTTCAAGAGGTCAGAAAGGTACGGCATAGTGAAAAACACTTCAGACTTATCTTCATGTCACAGGATGGGAGTGTGTGTGTGTGTGTGTGTGTGTGTGTGTGTGTAAGAGAGAGAGAGAATGTGAGAGTGCATATGTGTATATATATGTGTGTATATGTGTGTGAGTGTATGTGTATATATATGTTTGTATATGTGTGTGTGAGTGTATGTGTATATATACATATGTGAGGAGAGCATGTATGTATGTGTGTAAGTGTGTATGAGAGTGTGTAAGAGAGTGTATTTATGTTTGTGTGTGAGAGATTGTGTTTGACAGTGAGAATGTGTATGTGTGATGAGAGTGTATGTTTATGTGTGAGATAGTGTGTATTTGTGTGTGAGAGTGTGTGTATGTGTGTTAGAGACTGTGATTCTGTGTTTTTAAAGAATGGGAGTGAGATTATGTGTATATATATATATGTGTATGAGAGTATGTGTGTATGTATATATGTGTGTGTGACAGTGTATGTGTGAATGTATGTATGTGAAAGTATATATGAGTATGTGTGTATATATGTGTATGAGAGAGAGCATGGGTGTGTTTATGTATGTATGAGAAAGCATGTGTGTGTATATGTGTGTGAGAGTGTATATGGGTGTGTGTATAAGAGTGAGAGAGTGTGTATTATAGAATGTGAGAAAGTATGTATGTGAAAAACTGTGTGAGAGACAGAGTATTGTGAGTGTGTATTTGTGTGTGAGAGTCTGTTTATGAGTGTGTGAGAGTGTGAGTGCATGAGATAATGTGTTTATGTGTGTATGAGAGAGAATGTGTGTATGTATATATATATATGTGAGAGAGTATGTGTGTGTGAGTTTGTGTTTATGTGTGAGTGTGAGAGAGTATATGTTTGTGTGTCTGTATAAGAGAGAGAGAACATTATGTATGTATGTGTGTATATATGTGTCTTTTTATTAAACAAGCAAAGTATTCTGGAAGAACTACTTTGCCATTTGCACATACATCTTCCACCTGACATGGAAACTCACTGACGTGCTCTGGCTGCCTTTCTTCTGCGTGCCTCATCACAGTCTCTCTGGAAACACCAGGTGAGTACAAAGCACTTTTTCCAGGAAGAGTCTGAAGGGCCGGAATATAAAGAGTCCAACCACGCTATTTGCCAGCATTCTGCCACACTTATCTGATTTGGTAGCCAGCTCCCGAGAGATGAACAGCCCTCCTTGATCTGGCCATGTCACCCCAGCAGGGCCAGTCCCATCCTTGCCTGAGCAGTCACCCGAATTCCCTGACCATAAGGACTCTCCAGGAGGAGGTGGGCAGGGCTGTGTGCTCAGATTTCACATGGGATCAGAAGACCAAGTTCAGGAGGCTAAACCACTTAAAAGGCCCTGGCTGGTGGATACCCTGGAGGGTGGGTCTCTAAGAATCCCAGTCGCTAGCCACTGGGTCAAGTAAACTGACTACCATCTCCTTTTAGTCTGAGCACATGGCCCCAGCCAGTCTCCAGCTTTGGTCTAACACCCAGACTCTCATGGGGCCGAGGGCCCAATAGTTCTGCTGGTTTCAGATGAGGAGTAAAGTCTGTGGGTTATTTCAGATTCTCGGGGAAGAAAGTAATATTCAAATCTTTCTGCAATGTAACTTTTTTAAGAGGAGGGAATGGAAGTGGGGCATGAAGACCAGCTGGGCGCTTCCTTGAGGAGTTCCATGAAACTGCTTTGTTAATGGCATTCAAGGTCTCTGATGAGGGGCAGGGAGGGAGAGAGGAAGAAATCCCATGGGGAAGAGGAATGGGGACCAGAAGGATGACAGTGTCACAAACAGATTGTGAACAATCAGGAGGAGAAGAAGGGCTTCGTTGTGGAGGCTGGGGGTAGGGGGGGTGTGGAGCAGCCAGCTCACTCTCAAAGAGGGAAGAAGAGAAAGACTGTGAGAAGAATAGAAGAGGAGAGGAGAGTGGGGGCCCCCTCTGGCACCACTTAATGACGCTGTGGACATGTCATTGCTGGAGTCAGTCCTCAAGAGACAGCTTCCCCGAGTTCCTGAAGCCATTAATGGTAGACCTATGCCTAGGATGGTAAAAGACATGAACTGAAAGTGGGAGTCCAGGAGCACCCCAAATACCCTGGTTATTATGAACAAGGAGCTACTGGTAAGAGAATGTGGTGTTATGGACAGAATTCTATCTCTTAAACACACAGATTGAAGACCTGACTCTTAAAAGGACTGTGTTTGAAAATAAGACCTCTAATATTGCATAAGATCATAAGAGTGGGGTACTAATCTGGTCTCATCGATGTCCTTAGGAGGGAGAATCTGGACACCTGAGACACAAGGGGTGTGCACACAGAGGAAAGACCTACCACGTGTGGAAGAGGTGAGAAGCTAATTGGCCATGTATAAGCCAAGGAGGAAGGCCTAGGAGAAACCAAACCCCCATGTACCTGGACCTTGACCTCACAGCTCTTTCAACCATGAGGAACAGATTTCTGTTTACCCCACATAGTCCATGCTACACTGTTATATGTTTAGCAGACTCAGGCAGTCCCTGAAGAAAATGGGCCACGCTGCTGCTGTCCAAGGTTGAACAGTGTTCTTGGTACTATAAAGCTATCCCCGCTCCGCTGCCGCTCTGGTAAAGCACCTCACCTTGCAAGTCCCCATTATTCATCTATATAGTAGCTGTAATAATATTTTCTCCCCTCTAAAATTAGGGTAAATGAGAGGGTAGACAAGAAAGTATTGGAAACTATGGTCAAGAATTAGATTTTTCTGGGGCTGGAGCGATGGCTTAGGGGCTAAGATCACTTGCTGTTCTTGCAGGAGACTCAGGTTCTGTTACCACTACCCAAATGGTGGCTCACAACTACATGTAACTTCAGTTTCAGGGGATCCACGGCCTCTTCTGGCTTCAGCGGGCACCAGGCACACAAATAGCACAGGCATACATGGATGCATCAGGGTGAAAGGTCAAAGTGCATGACCAATGAGCTCAGGCTAAGTAAGATGGTCACAAGGCACAGCAAGTTTGCTCTATGAACGGCTATGTTCACAGAGCACAGACTTGGGCTCATCACTCCTCAAGTCTTGAGTGAACCAATTGTCCCCCTGCTCATCCCGACCAGAAACGAAGCCCCCAGGTCCAGGCTAGCCCCTGGGCACTCACCTACATCAGCCCCATTGAGGGCTTTCCCCAGTGGCCAGGGTCTCATGTCAATCCTCCTGCCATTGACAGCAAGTGACTGCACGCAGCCTTGGAAGCCACGGTTTGTCCCCGTTGCTCTCACCAGCCAGTAAGCGCTGGGAGCGCCACCGAGGTACAGAGGTGTCCGGAAGGTAATTTTACTGTACTGGCCCTTTAAGAAAAATGAAAACTTTATCTCACTTTAAAAATAGAAAGAAAAGAAAAACCAGAACACAACAGATTGCATTGAGGGGGATGGCTAAGATGTAGGTTAAAACCGTAGGGATTCCTTTATCTGGGTTTGTCTTTAGGACATGGCCCTGTTAGGTAATGAAACCCAGAGTTATTGACTACCATAGTCAACTCACTGACTCCTTGGAGGGCTGTGCTTCCAGAAGCAGTGGTTTTGGAATGGCTGCCAAAGAAGGAAGGAGGTCAGATCCAAGCCAGTCTAGCCGGCTCTGAAGCAGGTTGGCATCCAAAACCAACAGCACACTTTCCAGTCCTCACACCAATCTACTGTGTATCTTGGGTGGGTCACGCTATTCTGTGCATCCGAAGGTGGCATGGTGTGTGGGAGAACATCTGCCTGAACATCTGCCCTTTCACGATCCCAGCCCCCTTCACGCTAAGTAGCATAAGAGCCATTGCTGGAAAATAACCAACAAGTTGTGTTACAAAATATCTTGAAATTTACTCATGGACATGACTCCTTTTTTTTTCTTTTTCTTTTTAATTTTTAAGTGTTACCTTGAGTCAGGGAAACAATGCAATCCAGGGCCAAAGCAACAGTCTGAATTGTAAATTTGGAGGTTACAGAGTACAGGGCTGAACGTGAGTTGGGGGAAAAAATTAAGACACTCTTGGTCATTCTGTTTTTAGTATAGGAATATCTCATTCATCTGGATTAAACGATGAACATGGGAGCTGGGGGAAGGTGCAGCCCTAGAACTTATAAAACATCCCAAATCAGTCCATGACTATAATGTGTACCCTTAAAGTGGTCACTTCCAGCAAGTGGGAATCTAATCACTGCTGAATCTTTTCCAATGAATAGGTAAGAAATGTGTGTAAATTAGGAGACTGAGCCACTCAGTACTCAGAAGGTTTTAAGTGTTCGTCATCTACAAGCTGCTTCCATCAGACGACTCAAATGCTCTCTTGGCCTGTTCCATCCAGATTCTCAGGAGTCATTTCTGGACCCCATCCTTACTGTTCTGTTCTGGTTTTGTCCCCCTGTCCTGGGCCACAGCCGGGAGCCTACAGCTCAGTACGTTTTCCTGGGACATAGATGTGTGAAGATGGTGAGTTTGCTCTGGACCTTGGCCTGTGGTTCCCTGGAGTATGCTTTGACTGTCTGTGCATGTGAGTGCCCTGGGTCCCCCACGGCAGCCTTCAATAGTTTGGGGTAGCTCTGAGGCATATGTTGCTCCCTTGTTCTCATGGGACCAGGTGGAAACTGTATTAGGAAGAATCATGTGGGATTCTCAGTCTTGACTACTCCTTCTTCTCCTCTGTCCAACTTCTCCTCTCTAAAACTGGTCTCCCGACTGGGAACACTTTCTAAAAACAACCTATGTATAGGACTTCACCTTGGGCTTGTTTCTGGGGAACCAGCTTAAAATAGAACTACTGTCTCCTGACAGTTATTAAATAGTCCCCAGCTGAGGGCCTGCTCATACTTGCTATGCTCCCAAAGTCCCTGTAATACAGAGACAAACTTCACCCTGATCAGCCTTAACATCACATGCTCTTTGCAGTTAATTTCTATATTTGATAAACTCATAAAATATTGGGATTGGAAATATGAAACTTCATATAATGCAGGTTCCCACTGGTTGCTGGATCCTATGCATATCTGCATATCTCTTTCAATGGCTTACATATGCTGCTTTGTTAAATACCCCCTGGGACAGGGACCCATTGCCAAGACAGTCTGTTACACCTGCCAGACTTCCCAAGGCTCTCCCAGAAGGCTGACCTTTCTTCCCCAAGTATCTTTCCTTGACCTAGGGAAAAAAAATTGCCATTCTGCCTTCCTCTTTCCTGCTCCAAGCTAACAAAGCTCCACTGAGTCAACCAATTACTGAAGACATTTCAGGTCAACTTCTTGTTTGAGTGGCAGCCCCTGGAATATCTCACCTCTTAGAATGTCCTCATAGAATGGTTAGATTACTCCAGAACCACTGAGACAGAAGATGGCTACTTCTTCTCTGGATGCCACATCTCCATCCATGCAGACATGTGTTTCCTTAGCTTATTGGGGCTAACATGTGACCCTGTTTGCAATCTTCATAAAAAACTCATTGCTTTCAACCATCCTGCTTTCATGGTAGTATTCTGTACTCCAGATTGAAGAATCTTTTTTTTTTTTGGTTTTTGGAGACAGGGTTTCTCTGTGTAGCTTTGTGTCTTTCCTGGAACTCACTCTGTAGCCTAGGCTGGCCTTGAACTCGCAGAGATCCGCCTGGCTCTGCCTCCCAAGTGCTGGAATTAAAGGCGTGCGCCACCGCCGCCCGGCAGATTGAAGATTCTTACCAAAATTCAGTTGATCATTTTATACTATTGTATTAGAATCATACACATACAACCTGTCTTTTCTCCTCTTTAGCAATGGGCATAAGCAATTTCCAGGTACTATATAGTTCACTAGAGTTGGCTCCTTATTCCTTTTGACCCACATCAATGAGACTTTGAGGCATGGACCTTTATTCACCATGTCTTGTTTGTAGCACAGCAAGGACCTGGCAGTGGGTAGGAAGCTCAGACATAGGCACCAAGGCTCCCTTGCTGCCCTCTCCTTTAGAAAATACAGAGACCTGGCTGATGGTAACTCTAAGCTTGGCTCCTTGCCAGGCACTAATTCAAACCGTTTGTTCTAAAAGATAATCTTCAAATTACTGTGAGCACAACAGATATGTGAGTACCTCAGTGACCTGTAGAGCGACACAGGAGATAACTAACTTACCTCCTCCTCCTCCAGTGATGCATCCCAAGAAGGATAAATGGATTATCCCTCTGTATGGAACCAGACAAGCCAACTCTTTCCAGTTGCTAAAGCCACAGGATCATAACACTCGTCTCTACCTTTTATCTGAAGCTAATGATGGGTTCTTGGCTTCCCATATGGGCTTTTCTTGACCTCTGGCTTGGACAACCTTGTGCAAAGATAACTCATCCTTGCACAGGTGATGTGTGCTGCATTGTGCACCCAGAGCATTACTACTCACAAGTTCAAGGCATCTGCCCAGTAAGTGTGTATGGAAGGTGTACATGGAAGCTCAGACAGGCAAAGCTGTGGGGACCCCACCACAGCTCTACTGTGTGCCCTATAAAAATTCAGCCTCCCAGAGCTGTCCAGAACCTTGCTCTCTGCAGCAATCTCCTCTTGAGGACCAGATGAGGGTATGGGCTCACACTCACCTGGGACTGGCCTGTCACCGGGGTGCCATTATTCAACTGCAGCAGCCCGTTCAGCCCATCTCTGTACAGTGTCACTGTGTGCCAGGCCCCAAGTTTGATTTTGGTCTCACTTATGATGATGGCAATCCCGGTTCCACAATTAAACCTGAAGGGAGGAGGGAAGGAAGATTCTAGAATAAACCAGCTCATGTTTTCGGACTCCACATCATCACTTCTAGGACAATGGCTCCTCTCTTTGGTTTTGGGGTGAATGTGTGTGTGTGTGTTTTTTTATATGGGTACTGGGGATGCAAACTCGGTTCTCCATGCTTCTAGAGTAGGCATTTTTCTGACTGAGCCATCTCCCCATCCTCTCCGTTGGTTTTGAGACAGAGTCTTACCCTGTACTTCAAGAGCCTAGAACTTACTAGGTAGTCCTTCTCCAGCCTCCAGAGTGTTGAGATTATAAGCATGAGGCACCACATCTGGATAACAGTTATTTTAAGAGTTAATGTGTCCAGAGTTGTATCTATGGCTATCAAGAGCCACATGACTCTACACAGAAGAGCTGGGCCTTTCTTTCCTCTGATGGTCCTGGTCTAGTTATTGCTCATCTATGGTCTCAGAGCCTTTGTCTGCGGGGACCTATTAACCTGTGGTCTCATCTTCTCAGCAACTCAGAAGCAGATGGGGTGTAGGATTCTTTGTCTCTTCTCCAGAGACAGTCAGATGCTCAAAGTTGATGTGAATACAATACTGAGAGCATCATTCTGCTTCCAGGCATTTCTCTGAGGAATCTCCCCAATTCTCAAACGATTCTCTTATGATATTAATAAAGTGTAAAAATGCAGTCTTCACAGGAGTTCTGAGAAGCAGGCTACCCTTCCATCCATGTCCAAGGCCCCCACACAGGTGAGGTTTCCCCAGGAGACTCTGGCTCAGGCCCAGGCATGGGAAAGGGGAGATGCACACTGAGATGGCTGCAGTATTCTGGTTCTCTCCCAGTGTCTCTGTGGCCCAGGGCAGCAGTAATTACTATACCTGACAGGGAAAGTTTGGGTACTTTCCTGTTAACTTGAGAGTAGCCATCCAGACACTTCTACCCAGACCCCCAAGATTGCTTCCTGGAGAAAGCAGGATGGGCACGTCCACACTATGCTACCTACATCCCCTTTCTTGTGACTGTTGTTTCCCCACCCTCACGAGTGGGGATGGCATGGCCAGGATTCATAGAGGGAGATGGAAGCATCACTCAGGTAGAGCTGTTACACTAAGGACCTGCCAACAGCCAATACTGCCACACCACTGAGTGTCTACCTCATCCTTGAGTGCTAGAGCCCATGAGATTAGAACCATTAGCCTAATCCTGGTGCCTTCCACCATGCATCCAAGAATCAGTTCATCTAACAAAGCATACTTGAATGTCTTCAAGGTAACCCTAAGAACTCAAGACGTGTGTGTGTGTGTGTGTGTGTGTGTGTGTGTGTGTGTGTGTGTGTGTGTATGTGTGTGTTTATGCATGTGTGTGTGATAGATGTCACAAGCCGGATGGACACCAGAGGTTAACATCAGATACCTTCCTTTTATGCTTTCCACTGTGTTTTTTTGAGACAGGTTCTGTACCTGAACCCAGAGCTCCATGACTGCAAACTCCAGGATCTACAGTCCCTGCTTCCCAGTGCTTGGGGGTTATAGGTGTGTGTTAGCATGTCTGACTTTTTACATGGGTGCTATGGATCCAAACTCAGGTCCTCATGCTTGGCATGGGAGGCACTTTACTGACTCAGCTGTCTTCCCTTCCCGCAAAAGTATTTTTTAATGCCTAAAAAATTAAATAAACCATTAGGGTTGGTATATGCTTCCTGGACAGGCATTGTGCTAAGCATAAGAGAGCTCATGTGATCCCCTCCATAATCCTTTGAGGAAAGGCAACTCCCATAGCTCATGTCATCTGCCAAAGGTCAGGCAGTAAGGAAATGATGCCATCAGGACTAGCTAGAGGACCATGGACAGGGTCAAGACTGGTGCCTGTCATTCATTCACAGACAGACACTATGTGCCCACACTCTGCCTTCCTGAAAAATCAAGTTAACTAAAAACAGCTTCCAAAGTATCTGGAGGAAAAAAAAATGACCCAGGTACAGGTGGCAAGTCAGGATTCAGCCCAACCCCAGGGAAGTCATGGTAGGTTTGGGCCTCCTTGGGGGCCTGTTGCCCTTCCATAGCTGATGGCCATCTTGTCTCCAGGAGGCTCTGAGAAGATCTTGTCTTCTGCTTGAGCTTCAGGAAAGAGAGGACTTGGCCTTTGCCAAACTGCCACGCGCCCACAGTGGGTGTTCCATACCTAACTGTGGCGTCAGAATGAGTGAGTGAGGCAACATTCCCAAACTCAAACTTCAAAGGTTACTCTGCCGTCCCGGCTCTCTGGGACGTGAGAAACTGGCCCCGGCTCATCTCCTGCACACTATTCCTTTAGTGACTGGAGTCTAGTTGTACGGCCCGCATTGTGTACAACGTATGTGGCAGAATTTTAAGGTCTACAGGACTTAGGGTAGAAGTTACCTGAACTGGAGGGAGCGTCGGATGAGAGCCAGGGACATGAAGTCACCTCTCCCGTGTTCACTCTCCCCACAGTAGAGCAGTAAGCCGTCCTCTGCCTCTGCCTGTGAACACACAAGCAAAAGCCACAGGAACCATGGCCACCCCTTCCTCCTCCTCTGTGAACACTCATGAAGACAAAACATGAGTGTTCCCCTCTGCCATCCTACTGCTGCAAGCACACGGACTCCTGGGAGTTCCCACATATCCAGGCCGGTTCCTTCACATTAAAAAAATAGCAGTGGTATGAATAGTGCCTGAGGAGCAGCTCTGAGGTGAGGAAGGCCCATACCCAACCTGCTTTTTCCTTGGCTTTGCGGATGCACCGGCAAAGTTTGCGGACGAGCCTGAGTCCTATAGCCCCGGACACAGAGCACATTGTTTGTGCTCATCGTTTTCTACCGTCACCGATGAGCATTCCATTTCTAAAGTGTTTCTTCTGCTCTTCCTCTCTACCTGGGAAGCATGTATATCTGCTACTTTCCTTCTCTCTAGGCAGTACCAGCAGTCCACTGGGTAGTCACACTGGGTGTGATAGCTGAGGGATAGGCCACCTCCTAGACAGTTAACACTTGCCAAGGGGTTTCCAGACCCTTCACCCTTTTGCTTCTTCAAAGACACTCAATGAATCACATTAAGCTCCAAGCGCCAGCTGGATGCTGGTCTTTAGATGATTGGGACCAGAGAGATCGCTCTAAAGGACTTTGGGGAATGGAATGCATTGTTAGTCCTGAAATCCTGCCCCTGACCATCACCCTGGAAGCAGCATGCTCACTGGGAGTCTAATCTTCCATAGTTGGTGACTTGTAAACCCACCCTCCCCCAGCTGTGCACTTGAACACTGTGAATGTACCCCCACCCTGCCAGATGTTGTGACTGATTTCGGGTCAGGCTAGGTGTGTCATACTTTTTTACTTTCCCTCTTCCCTGTATTCCTCTAATGTAATCAGATGTGTTCAATGGACACTAATTATGTGGCAGCTCCTCTTACCCTGAATTCCAGAGTGATCTGAAATGCCTGATAAGAGTTCTTCAGAGGCTCAAAGGTTACGTAGGAGTGACCAAAGAACTGAGGATACTGGATAAAGATATCTAAAAGAAAAAAGCGCAATGTGACAGAATGCTCTTGCCTCATTCTTTTCAAAGCAGAAATCAACAGACACCATTGTCTGCCTATCACCCAGTAAAACCCTCATCTAATCAACTACACTCAGCTTCCTTCCCATCCATCTCCCTTTCTCTGCCTTTCACACCTATTACTCTCGGGATCAGGGAGCCTTTTCTGAAGGGAAATTCTTCAGAAGAAACTGGGTTTGGAAGATGGGTTCCTGCTTCCCGGAAAAGAAATGAGTGGCTTGAAGTCCAACATCACTCATTTTCATGCTGGGCTTTTGCGGTACCCAGGTGGCTCAGCCATCAGCCCTCTCCACCCTTCTGGGTGTTCTGGTTATCGTTTTGATAGAGATGTGATAACGGTAGAGTCTACCTCCTGGTCCTATTGAGATGATTTCTCGATAGCTGCTTCAAAGAACCTCACACTAGACACACATAGAAACAGGGCTACTGCCTCTGAGAGGCAGTGGAAGATGCTTCTCACTTTCCCTGGGGGAGCTAATTTACCAACCCATACATAAAGGAAAGGCTTATCTTACAAAAAAAAGATGGCCAGAAGGTGCTGTGTTTGTATCATACAACCATCTACAGGACTCTGCAGGTTTAACCACGCTGTGTTCATTCCCTTTCCAGGGCTTACCTTCCGAGCAGCCCTCGCCCCCTTTGCCCAGGTTGCAGTGACATCGTGAGCCTCCCCAGGTGTAGTCATTGACACAGAAGCTGTCAGCGGAGCAGAGAGTTTCATCACAGGACATGTCAAAGAGCCTTGACATCATGGCCACACTGTTCTTCCCCTTCCGCTGGGCAGGGGTGTGTGGGATGGCCACTGTAGTTTCAGGGAGAGATGCTGGGGTAGGTTGTGCAAGCCTAGAACCCATCTCTGGGTTAGAGAGAGAAGTCTTCTTGGATTCTATCAAGACCTTCCTACTCCCAGCTTTGGTAGCAGGAAGTGGTTTAACCTATGTGAGAGAAGGAAAGGACTTAGCATAAACACAGAGTCATCTTTACATTGCATATATGCATCTCTTGGACCATAGGCTCACTGTGAATGTCCAAAAACCCCAGGATGTCCGTGGGACAGAGGCCCTGACCCCAGTTTACAGAGGAGGACTTTGAGACTCAGGGAGTTTAAGCACCTGTCCCGTATTAGTCAGAAAATTCCGTGTGGTAAAGCTGATACTCTATGACCTGTCCTTACTAAACTATTACAAAATGCATGGCTTTGCCAAGGAATCATTCATTTTCTTATACTGCCTCATTTTACAAAATTCCGTGGATGGTAAATCTACATTTTTTTTTTCGGTAGTTTATGAGGCTACTTGTAGACAGAGGCTGTTCATAGGATAACAGCCTGCTAGAAAACTTCCTAGTGTTAATTTATCCCGTACCCCGCATGACCCCCCCCCCCCCCCCCCCGCATCATAGTCAGAGGAAATAAATCATTGCTGATGGGTCCATTTCAGTTTGAACTTTCATGGTCATGCTCTGTGGCTAAGCTGCTGCGGTCAGCAGGGAGACAAAGCACACTGGAGTCAACAACAGAGGTGACGGTACCTCCTCAAAGGACACATCCAGATCCAGTTCATCTTCAGATCCGTCATCATCCTCATTCACTCCTGTACTGGTGATATACCGAGGTCCATAGCTGCCACTTCCTGCCTCCTCTGGGCCTTCACAAAGAAAAGCACATGACCTGTCACCTTATGCCTTCTTTGTCCCAACTTCTTGTCCCAACTTCCTTTCTTCTACAATTATTTTTTTAAATAATTTATGTAATTTTATTTCATGCACTTTGGAGTGAGGGTGCCAGATTCCCTGGAACTGGATTTACAGACAGGTGTAAGCTGCTATGTGGGTGCTGGGACTTGAACCAGGGTCCTCTGGAAGAGCAGTGAGTGCTCTTAACCACTGAGCCATCTCTCCAGCCTCCTCTCCTTTAATTATTAAACTTTCAAGTACTTTATGAAATATGCCATTTTCTTATATGCATGGCATTATACCTTGTTCTCATTTACCTCCTCACTTTCTCCTGACCCGCCCCCCCCACCTTTTAGCCAGACCTCAAAATATACTTTACTAAGCAATAATCCTCAATGAGGATTGGAGAGTCCATGGAAGGTTCTAGAAAAGAGAAGTCATCAGGACAGAGCTCCTGACAGCCCCTCTGTAGCATTATAAATACCCTGTCTCTCCCAGGATCCAGATTATTCACCATCTCATGATAAGTGAGAAGATAAAATAAGCACAAATAAAACCAGACCCTGCATGACCCAAGGGTCATGGGATGAAACCCTGCTGTTCTTCTCTCCTGATAGTGGCGGGAGATGGAATTGTTTCCTCAGTCTCACACCTGTGAAGCTTCCACCAATTTTGTTTTTCATTGCGTGTAGGATGTACATTCTATCCTACTGATAAGGATTCTCCGAGTAGCCTGGGGTTGCTATAATTAAAGTGCATAACTTATCTCTTTCTACTTGGCACTTGGTTAATTAAGAAAAGAGAACATTAAATAGCGGACATTTATTAGGACCATAATAGTCAAACCACAGAATGAATGCTAAACAAAGTCTGGGTTATTCCACACTAAGGAAAAAGGAATGTTAAAATACAAATTTTTGTGGGTCAACCAAAGGCCGTCCTTTATTTTATAAAATCTATGTATGTTTGTGTTTAGGAAGGACATCATGGTTTTTCTGTACATTGTTTCTCTGATGATCAATATGATATAGTTGGAAGTATCTCTTGATCATGTGAAACGGGCACAATAATCTGTTGTTGGGCAAGTCATTTAATGTTGTTAGATCTCGTGATTCTGAACAAAATAAGGAATGAGAGCTTTGGAGACAGCTCAGTTAAGAAAGTGCTTGCCACATCAGCATGAGGACCTGAGTTTAGTTTCCAAAACCCATACAGAAAAAGCTGGAAATGGCGGTAACCTCTTGTAATTCGGGTACTGGGGAGGCAGAGATGGGCAGATCCCTGGGGCTCACATGGCAGTCAGCCAGGCAGACTTGGTGAGCTACAGGTTCCAGAGAGAGATGAACAGTGCCAGAATAATGACATCTGAGGTTGTCTTCTGGCACACACACATACGCACAGGCTCTCTCTCTCTCTCTCTCTCTCTCTCTCTCTCTGCCTCACACTCATGTAAGCACACACACACACACACACACACACACACACACACACACCTCCCACACACAAATAAGGGATGAGATTAGCTTTCACAACCATTGAGTTCTTCAACTGCTGTGACACTGGAATTCACACTGCTAGTGCAGATGTGCTCCAGATGTCTGCACACCAGCCAAGATCTGAAAAAAGAAACAACTGGGAGGTTTTACTTACAAGGATGAAAAGAGTCTGGTATGATCTCACGTGCTCCGAGGATCGGAGCTTTGTGTTCAGGATTCTAAGCTTCCATGAAGCCATGTCTTATCACCATCAGAATCATTTGTTACAGGGGCCTCAGGGGAACCTGTCTTAACAGCTCAGCTCATGGAGGCCTCAATGGGGACACTTGTTCCCCTTCCCCGAAGTTTCCTTCAGGAAGATGACATTGAAAAACAGAACTATTGGGTTCTTGTCCAAGGTTTCCATCCCTATGAGGGAGCGGTAGTGATCAAGCTGCATTTGGCCCACTCTTTGGAACTGAGAAATGCTGGGAGGAGGAGGGACTGTGGGTAACCTTGGTCCCCCCTGTAACCTTTTTTCACTAGGTCTAGGGGGACAAAGTGTCCTAGGTAGGTAGAATTGTCACAAATGATCAAGCTTCCCAAGCAGGCTATCACACATCCCATACTAGGCAGAGGGTCCTAGCAAACCTACCTTGACTCTCAGAGAAAGCTTGCCTTCTTACTTGGCCTTTGTCAGACATAAGGATGCCAATCTGCTAATGGCATTTGCTGACCTATAAACTGATTCTAAAAGTGGGCAGAGAGAAAAGGGGCTGTGAATTGATCTGCCGAATCAGCAACAACAAAAACTCTGTTGCCACTGGAGCAAGAATGGCTTGGGAGAAAGGGCTGTTCTGTAAGAGACAATGGGTTATGGGAAGAAACTGGGACATCTCAATACAAATGCACAAGGGGAGTCTGGTCAGGTGGAAAATGACAGATAAGAGCTACAGTCTGAGTCCCTTCAAAGTCTCCCCAAGACCTTTTGTGATTTGGTCTTGCTAGTCAGAACCTAGACCACATTCCAGTTTATTTATCCTCACCTTGCACCATCCAAACTGGTTCTTTTTTTTTCAGATTTAATGACCTTTTCTGATCAGGAAATACATGTTGGTACACCAACAGAAAGGGTCCAGTGGGAAAGCAGAGCAAGGCAGGCTGTGTGGCATGGGAAAGGGTAAGCCTGATAGTGTTGACACATATGTGGTCTTGTCTCCAACTGGCTCCCCACAGACAGGGCTCAGCCAAAATCCTGCATTTGGAAGTTGGGAACCAGAACATGAGAGTGAGTGGTCAAGAGAAGGAGATGCAATGTACTTGTGTGTGACTCTCAGTGTGGATGGGAAAGACAGACGTGTGTCCCTGTATCTACCCAGTAAGAGGACTAATTCTGTGATATGACCAAGAACCAGGGTCCTGAGTCTTCTGGGGGCCCTTAGACTGGCTTCTGTGGACAATCATGCAGTTCAATTCTTTTTAGGTATTCAGATGGGCAAATTGCTCAAACTGAGGACATGAGCATCCCTCATCAGGCCTCTGATACAAAGACTAGAGAAAATAATTGCCAGTACTAAGTTTTGTATTTAAAGAGATGATGGTTAAGTATTAAAAGTGAAACAAAGACATTATCAGAGACAGTATATCACTGACAGACCTTTTGATCATTTACTAAAAAAACTGCTTAGGAAGGGGTAAGGGGAGAAGAGAGGAGGGAGGAGGAAGAGAAAAAAATAAGACATGAAGAATAGCAGGCAGGAAACTGGTGAGTGAAAGAGTGAATCTAGAGCAGCATTCTAGTTTCTTTTAATTATTAAAAAATTTTTAGGCTGGAGAGATGGCTCAGCAGTTAATTATTAAAAAATTTTTGTAGACAGAGTCTCACTGTGTTTCCCTGACTGACCCAGAACTCATGACATAGACCAGGATCTAAACTGGCTTTAAACTCACAGAGTTCCACCTGCCTCTGCCTTTGAGTGCTGGGGTTAACACTTTCCAGTTTTGTGAAAGTCTGAAGATTCAGCTATTAGAGGAGATAGGACAGAAATACTGAGAAGTTCCGTGGAAGACAAGAAGGAACTGAATTAAGGGAAGCTTCTGAATCTTTCATCATTTAAAAGAAGGGTAACAGTTATTGAGTAACTTTAGACTATTAAGTCTAAAAGTTAACAATTTATAAACAGTTAATAAAAGAATACATTATTTCATCCCAGTTGACAGAAATAGTAAATCATATAGGAAAGAAGAAAAGAGCAGAAACAAAACCCCCCTCTTCAATTAAAAAAATGGAGAGGAGGGACCCAGAGTAACTTCAAAAAAAAAAAAGATTGAAGGAATGAATAAAATATGCTGATAATTATAATAACTGTAAATGTAATAAGTCTCTCATTTAAGAAATGTGTGTCAGGTTGAATTTTAAAAGTATGAGCTGTATGGTGCTTTCAGAAAGCTCATCAATCATGAGACACAGGAAGATGGAAAATAAAAGGATGCTGTTGCTCTGAGTTGACTGGTACTTGGTGTATACATAGATCAAATCATCACACTGTTCTCTGTAACTGCACATTTAATGATTACATACCAACCTACAAAAAGATATATAACTTAAAAAGTAAATAAATTAAAAAAAAATACTTGCTGACCAGGAGAAAGAAAATAAACCCAAAGATGGGCTGAATGGAATAATGTTTCAGCAAAAATGAATCCTTCATTCTGACACAGGCTGACAACAGATTTACTGTCCAGAAAGCAAGTCTAAGAATCAAGAGGATGGCTTCTGTGTTGGTAAGAAGTTGGGTAAGTAAAGAAACAAGCAGGCCCAGACAGGAAGATCTAAGCAGTACATGGCCTACTAAAGGGAGGCTCTACCTTCAGAGAGACTGAGTTACAAAGAATTAAGGTTTTTTGTTGGGACTGTGGAGATGGCTCAGTCCATAAGATACTTGCTGAATAAACATAGGGATACAAATCCCATGTGCAGAAGCCACATTAAAAAAAAATTCTGCCTCTAGTGGTACAAGCTTGTAAAGCCAGTGCTGGGGGTGCAGGGCTTGCTGACCAGCCTGCTTGGTGAGCACCAAGATCAGTGAAAGACCCATGTCAAAAAAGAAGGTGGGTAACGCCTTAGGAATGCCCCCTGAGGTTGTCATCTGGCCCTCACACATACCTGTAAATATGTGTACCTACGTGTGTAAACACAGAGATACATAAATATACTCGTGTATGAGCACACACATATACATACACTCACTATGTAGCCTAAGATGACTTCAAACTGATGGCAACCCTCCTGCCTCAGCCTCCCAAGTATTGGGATTACAGGGGAGAGCCAAAATGCCTGACTGCATACCTCGTCTTGGTATGACTTTTATCCCCATGTATCTACTTGATTTATTATTATTCTATTATACACAGAGAGAGATACATTAGAAACATCGACTTGAACTGTGGCTAAAAGACACAATCCTGGTCTATGACAGTGAAGTGGATTTGGTGGT